CGCGGTGCTGCAGCGCCGGGCCCCGCCCCTCGCCCCGCCCCTTCCCGGTACTAGCCCCGCCCCTCCCTTTGGCCACGCCCCTCCCTTGGGACCTAACTCTTTCCCTCTGCCAGCCCCGTCGGACTTCCCCGCCCCCGGGTTTCTAGCGCTCGCTTTTCGCAGATGGGGAGCTCACGGCCGCGGGTCCTGATCCCGGAGAACGCGGGTTCTCCATCCGCAAGGCTCACAATCTGGGAGGCCTGCAGCTCAGCCTGAGCTGCCTTCCTTTGTTTTTGGTGGCTCTGGCGGTGTTGGAATCGACTGCCGGGGAGGGGGCGCCGCGCGTCACTGCAGATTCCCGGGTTCTAATGTGAGCTCGGAGCGCCTTCCTGGGACCCAGACGTTTGAGACTCGCGTTCCATCCGCCCCTCCCCACCCTGAGCGCTGCAGTCGGTTCATCCCAAGCAGGCCCTCCTGCTAAACGGGGCTCGCCGGGATGTCGGGAGACCCCTCCCCTCCTGTTCACTGAGCTCCTTTGTCTTCTGAGCTCTGGTTGCAAGGGGAATGCTGGGCCGGCAGGTGCCCCAGCGGGCGCCCTGGATGTGTGGACCGGAGCGGTCCTGTGCGCCTGATTCGCAGCATGTGCGCTTTCTGCGCACCTGTGTTGCTTGTAATGGCGCTTCCGGGATGCATTACCTTTGGGGAATCACACAGTGACTTTTACTTGCGCCTGTTCTATAGGGACTCTTGTCTGTATGTGCTTTCCTGTGATCTAGAAAATTGCTTTGCACGGTAATGTTCGCACAAGAGACTTTACAGGATAGTCTTTATTTTTGCTGGGGAGTCCTGGATCCTTCAAAGTGTATACGGGAACGGGGGGTGGGAGGGGACTGGTGAGGTTTTAATAAAATTGATTTGCGTTAGAAGCTTGAATTAACCCTATTTTCCCTTATCTCTACCCGTCCTACATGTGCATATAAATTACTATTCACGATGTAACTTTTTTTTTCTTTTTGGGTCACACCCGGTGATGCACAGGGCTTACTCCTGGTTCATGCACTCAGGTATTACTCCTGGCGGTGCTTGGAGGACCAAATGGGATGCTGGGAATCAAACTGGGGTTGGCCGCGTGCAAGGCAAACGCCCTGCGGGCTGTGTTATCACTCCAGCCCACGATGTTACATTGTAATTAATATTTCGTTTTAAGTACCACATAGCCACTTTTTCCAAACTTTGACTACTTCACTATTGGAATTCAAAATTTCTCTAATTTGTAGATAAAATTTATCTTCAGTCACACAATTTCTTTAAAACAAATTAATACCTTAAGAAGCTCTTTATTTTAAGCTTTTACTTATTTTTTTTGAGGGGGACAAGTAAACCCATTGGTGCTCAGGGCTCACTCCTTGCAGTGCTCAGTGGACTATATAGGGTACGTGGGATTGAATCCTGGTCAGATTCAGGCAAGGCAAACAAATTACCAGCTGTACTATCTCTCAGGTACCCTTAAGAAGCTCTTTAAAGATTGCATAATTGGGAGGGCCAGAATGATAGTATAGCTGATAGGGTATTTGTCTTGCACATTGCTTACCCTGGTTCAATCCCCAGCATCCCATGTGGTCCCCTGAGCCCCGCCAGGAGCAATTCCTGAGGATAGAGCCCGGAGTAATCCCTAAGCATCGCTGGGTATGATCCCCAAACCCAAAAATAAAAATAAAGATTGCATAATTGGGATAGTGATGGAACTCAAAATGTAGGTGTGACCCCATTTCAAAAAGACGTCTATAAGCTTCATAGTGATAAACTATGTCATAGTTTATCATTTATATGTAAATCTAGCGGGCTGGAGCCATAGCACAGCGGTAGGCTGTTTGCCTTGTGCGAAGCCGGCCTGGCCGAGCTGGGTTCAGCCAGTTCGATTTTTCCGCCCCTCTCTGAGAGCCGGGCAAGCTACCAAGAGTATCTCGCCCGCAGGACAAAGCAAGCTACGGAGAGTATCTCACCCCCTGACATATTCAATATGCCAAACACAGTAACAAGTCTCACAATGGAGACGCTACTGGACCTGCTGGAGCAAATCGATAAATAACAGAAGGACCATGACTGTGATGTAAATCTAGCATTATTTTATCATTATTTTATGAGAGTCTCCTGCCCCCGCGCCTGGCTGTCCTTGCCGAGGCCCCTTGGAGGGGAGCGGGATGAGTTTCCCTACCCACCCTGACCAGGGCTCCAGCAGTCGAAGACCTCCAGAACCAGCCACCACCATGCTGAGACCACTCTCCACATACATGAAGGTACCAGCAGAGGAACAAAGGCATGCGGGTCCCGGGGCTGAGATCTCCAAGCCTGCTCGAATTGGGGCTGAGCATCCTCCTCCCAGATCCTCCATTTTCCAGTAGGCAAGGGCCACACCCACCAACTGACTCCTGGCACTGTGTAATTCCATCAACGGCCAAGACCCAGAGACTATTAAACCCAGCTCCCAGAAGCATGTGGCCGCATTCGCTTCACGGCTGTGTGATACCTTATTATCTCATTCTTACTTTGGACAAAATGGCATGCTACTGAATGTAACCTGCCCTCACGGCAGAGTCTGGCAAACTCCCTGTGGTGTACCCTGTGTAAACACACAAAAATAAAAAGGGCCTGCGGTCTATCTCTCCCGCCGCCCGCGTTTGGTAATCACAGGCCGTTTCCCCACTCCACGGGGGTCGATGGCGATGGTCAGGAGAAGGAAGGAAACGAGGCCAAGCTGGTTGGTCTTAGTGATATCGGTGGGCCCCACGGGTGACTTACGTGAAGCGGGGAGGAGAAAGACAGTCACTTTCTCCCCACCCGCCTCTGCCACTTGGGACCCAGGGTTGCTGGGTTCTTGTCTCGCCTCGCAGAAAGGAATTTCAGGAGTAGACAAGCAGTGAAACAAATAGATTTTATTTGGAGGATTTTTAGGTATGGAGGGAGGGAGAGAGAGTGAGTAAAGTTAGACACGAAAGCATGAAAGTACACATTTCAAGAGGGGAGATGCGGGCAACACATGTGCTCGGGCACCACATGTGCTCGGCCACGTGGGTGCAAGCAGCACATGGGCTCAGGCAGCATATGCACGCTCTTCCTTTGTTCAAGGTGGCCTTTATAGGGTTTCTCCAGCCTGTCCCCACATGAGGCCTCTTTCCAGGTAAAAGTTCGTTGCTAAGGAGGTTACCAGGGAGGTCCAAAAAGAGGAATTTTATGGAGAGGCCTATATCCTCAGGGTCTGCGGATGGTCTTATCAGGCCTTTGCTTTCTGTATCCACAAGTTGGGTCATTTCTAGAATTCTTCTTCCATTGCAAAGGACCTTTCCCTATCTACCTGCCTACATCATTAGCAGCAGTTTATTACATGGAAGAGATGTATGTCATGGAGGCCCCAGGATCTCTCAAGCACGTGCACCTTTGTTCTCTCCGCTTCTGTTCTCAGCCCCATCTTCCCAGGTTCTCTGATGCACGTGTCCCCCCAGAGAGTCCTGAAATCTTCCTTATATAGATCATAGTCCTCTAAAAGGCGCATTACAGTGATGTCATCAAAAGGAGTTACAGAAAGAACATTGAGGTGGCAAACATACATTGTTTCTTTACATCTGCAGGCCAGGAATCCTGGTCTCACCTTTATAAGCTACAAGCACTTGGATTTGCATCCCAAAGACCAGCCTGGCCAGAGCTGGAAATCTACATCCCAAAGATCAGTCCTGGCTAGTACTTGAGATCTGCATATCCAAGACCAGCTAGGTTTCTGTAAGAAAAGAGAAACTGCCTCAATATACTGAAATCATTTACTGAAGGCAGTTTGAAGGGGAGAAAGTTCAGTCTCATCCCAGCTAGTCAGGACACACAGGAAAACTGCTTCTAGGATGTGTTTCTCCTCTCCTTGTCCAACCAACATGTAAGCATACATAATATTAATCATTTTGTATGGATACAGTAAGAAATACCTTGAGCTTATAGAATTGCTCTCCTAGGGCCATCTCGATCTCAGACTGCAGTGCTCAGGCCAGATAGCTTTCCTATTCTTAGCAGCAGGGTTCTAGTCTCGTCGTTACTTTTGGATCATGACAGCATTTGCCTATGATCAAACTCTTAACTTATAGCTAAGAATCCGTGGCACCTTGGCCTGGCCCATCGCGATACCAGGGTAGCACATAACTTACCGGCTTGCCCTGGTTCCATCCAGTCCCACGTCGGGACCCTGCCCTTGGGGTGCTAGGAAGTGAGGGCAACTGAGGCTTAAGTTGAGAAGGCAGATGCCCAGGAGTGAATAATATTCAAAGCCAATTAAATCCTAAGTTATAAAGCATAATATTAATTAATTGTCTTCCTGTATCTATACAAAAGGACATTGCATTAAGGTAAACTGCTCAAAAGACATAAGGAGAGGAGAAAGGCAATATTAACTTACAGTACAAGTTCAGTGTCCTAGAAGGATGAGACCTTACAAATGGGTTGGGGAAGAGAGCATAGAGGTGGTTACAGGCAGACAAAGTAATGGGAGTGACTCGGGAGCTCTGTGATGAGTGCGACCCAATAAACCTAAGCTCCGTATACTCCAACAGTACCCAATATGCCAAATACCAGTAACAATGATGGGTCTCATTCTCCTAACCCTGGAAGAGCTTTTAATATGGCACTTTTTAAAAAATCTCAGGGCTAGGATGAAGGAGACATTACTGGGGCCTGCTCTAGGTAATCGACGAACAACAGGATGGTTGTGATTGTGATCGTGATCATTTTATCATTGCAGGAACAGCATGCAGTTATGTTATGTTCCTGTATTTTATGTTAATAAATTGGGTTTTATAAGCAGAGAAAATCAATGAAATGCTCAAAATAATTGAAGACTATTTAAGTATTCCAAAGAATACTTCTTTTGTTGTCAAAGTTGATATGATGTAGCAGTGAGGGAATTCCCTTTGGTCTTAGGTGCCCTGTAATTTGTGTCAGGGGTTGTTAATGTCAGTGTTTAATTTGTTCTGTACTCCATAGGGCTAAATGCATTTCGAAAACTTGGCAAAAGGCTATCAGACCTGACTCTCATCAATGACTTTGCTAGTATTTAAAAGCAATTACCTTTCTGTGCCTATTTAGTGCTACAGGCTGTAATTCCAAATTAGACTCACTTTTAGTTGTATCATTTTACACAGTTGATATATAATTCATTATCTGAGACACCAGGGGAGGCAGTGAAGTGAATTGTACACTGGTCAACTATCTGGTGGAACCATGTTTTCTATTTTTTAACAGATATAACCATATTTAAGATAAAACAAGGCATAGTTTTGTGGCCGATTCTCTTTAAAAATATGGATTTGCTTTCTAAGGGTTCCAGGTGATGTTTTTGGCACCCTATTACTATGTTTGCTGCTGCTACCAAGAGCTTTGTTAAACAAGTTGGAAATGGAGGGAGATTAGTTCCTGTTCCAAGCCTCAGTGAGGCTGACAAATATCAGCCTCTAAGTCTTGTGGTAAAAAAGAAGCGATGTTTTCTGTTTCCCAGATACAAATTTACCTCAACACCTTTTACTCTGAAAGATATTCTAATAGGAGACAGAGAAATTTCAGCTGGTAAGTTTTCTTCCTTTTTATTTTTCATTTGCTAAATTTCCATGTCTGCTTAGGTATGACTTCATTCAGCTATATCATTGATAATATAAATATATAAATATAATATAAACATAAGCATTGATAATATAAATATAATATAAACATAAGCTGTAAATAGTAACGTTCCTACTTTTTTATACATTTTATTGATAAAAGAAATTTTTATTATAGGAGTAATATCATTAAGACAAAGAGTGCCTAAAGTTTATATACTCCCGTTTCTTATTGATTGAATAATCTTCAAACTATTTTGTAGACTAATTTTGTTTCAGTTTTTTTAAAAATTATTTTAATCAAATTAGGCTATGATGTTAGAAATGTGTTTATTTATAAAATGATCCTTTTTTCAAGTCTTACCTGTGTTAGTGTCAAATGAGATGAAAGTAATTTTTATTTATTTTGTATTAATCAGTTAAGATTACAGTTGATAAACTAAAATATATTTTACAGGCTAGAATAGAAAATAAATGAACATTCTGACTCTCATAACAATTTTTGGGTTGGATTTTGTTTTTTCCAATTACCCAGCCGATCTTGATACTTAAGAAGTTGTAGGCTGCATTTGAATTCGTCTAAGGATTCTGGATATTATTTATTTTTGCTGTCAAATAATTGAATTGTTGCTTTTAATCTTAGTTTGGGTAATGGAGCCACATAGCAAATTAATGTACTATCAATTGATCTATATTAGATGCATTCAAGACAATGAAAATACTAATTTTCTTTTTTAAAAGGTATTTCATCTTACCAATTACTGAATTATGAAGACGAATCAGATGTCTCTCTCTATGGAAGGCGTGGCAACCATATTGTGAATGATGTTGGAATTAATGTTGCTGGGTCAGATTCCATTGCAGTAAAAGCTTCATTTGGTGTAGTAACCAAACATGAAGTAGAAGTTACAACATTACTCAAGGAAATTACTACACGGTCAGTACAATAATCCTTCATCTACTTGTCTTTTCATCAGATATTTTAATTATATATACTTTATTACCAAGAATATTTTAAATACTCAGGTAATATTTCTAGGTATAATATGACTGGCTTGTTTGAAATTAGTAATATATCTAAACTACGAATAGTAGATGTTCAAAATCATTTGGAATTTTCAATATTTCCTGAAAGTTGCTTTGGTTCTTCTAAGTTATTTGATAAAAAAAAGAACATGTGAATCTGCTGCAACAAATATTCAAAGAGAATCTCTCAATAGGTTCCTAGAATCATGTCTTAAGAAAATAGAAATAAGAGGAATATCATTCTTTTGAGCATACTTTCTCTGATTTGTAATAGACCTGCCTTGATTAGCTCTAAAAGTGGACTTTGAATAGGCAATACATGATAGTGAAAAATGTACTTGAGTATATGTAAATGGATGTTTTCAGACCCTTGTGAATGGTTCTTTATTTCAGAAAAATTAATTTTGACCACAGCTTGATACGTCAATCCAGGAGCAACAGAAAGGCTGTGCTATGTGTGGTTATGGAAAGCATTCGAACCACACGGCAGTGCTCACTGTCTGTGCATGCTGGAATTCGTGGGGAAGCCATGAGGGTAATGAGCCCTATTCATTCTGCTGCTTTGACATCAGAGCTGAAGTGGGAATTGTTTTCAAGTACTCAGATTCAATGAGACTGGTGTATTTTGTCAATTGTTTTTATTATGAAGCTGCAATTATAATTTCTATGGTATTTTTTTAAAATTTCGGATAGAATATGGGTTCTACACAGTTCGAAACACTAATCCTTGGGAAATAATGTGCATGCTGGAGTCCTTCCTATTTCAATTTAAATGCTATTTTAAAAATAGAAATGAAGCATTTATGTTAAACTTTTAAATTATCTTTTATCTTTACTTTTAAAGTCATATCTACTTGTAAATTAAATTAATTTCTAAAGTAAGTAATATTGTCGATAGCCAAATAGTTCCATTCGATGTTAAATCTCTTTTTCAAAACTCATGAGGGGTCAATACACAGCTTAATAGTAAGGTATATGTCTGAGACCCTGCCTTCAATCCCTGTCCTCCCCACAACAAAAGATCTTGAATGTAATTTGTATATAATTTTTAGTTCAACTGTGATGTTATTTGTCCTTATGATTCAGTGATGCATTAAAATGACCTGACTGGTTTTATTAAAATGAATAGTTAAAAAGATAGTTTCAATAATTATCTTCTTAACTCTTGGTAAATATAAGTTCAGTACTCTATGTTCAGCTGCCCACCAATTTCTCTGTAGTAGGATTATTTGGGGGGCATGAATGGAAAGATTTACTTAATTTTTTACTGATTGGTTTGGAAAATAAGTTGATGATTGCTATGTAAAACAGCTGAAATTTCTGAGGAGACAGGTAGGCTAAAAATAATGGCAGTCTTTAAACACAATGGTTTCCAAGATATACAGTTGCCTGAGAGAATTTACTGCTGTGGGAGCATTAATCTTTGTCTCCTCTACAAAGTGAGAGGGGGGAGGTATTCCTAAGAGAGCTCATGAGTTCCTGCTGGAACTTTTGGATTCTACTAGAAACTGTTTAACTGTGATGGTTATTTCTGGTTTTTTGTTTTGTTCTGCTTTGTTTTTAATGGTTATAAGGGTGTTTCGTTTCTCTGAAAAGTGATCCTTACATGTTATATCCCTTAATGGTGTTGTTTATTTATTTAATATAGTTTCATTTTATGGATGAACAGAATCCCAAGGGAAGGGACAAAGCTATTGTTTTTCCAGCACACACAACCATAGCTTTCAGTGTTTTTGAACTCTTCATTTATTTGGATGGTGCCTTTGGTGAGTGCATGAAAAAGTAAAGTAACTATATTGTGAAAGGAATCTTTGTAATAAGTTTAGAATTGTGATGCTCTCAATTCTATTAATTTTATGTGTGGATGAGGTAACTGTCTCTATTTAACAAATGCCTCTTTTCCTTTTCTTGGTGAAGACTGTGGACTTTCCACCTCCCACAAATAGCCAAAATGAATCTACCAAGTATTCCTGATTTATCTGGTGAAAACAGTAAACCCTTGAATAGGTAGTTTCTAATGATGGCAAACAGAGGACAGATAGTCATTAAACCTGAAGATGTCAGGGGATATCAGGAGACAACTCTCCACCAGTTCTTCCCATTTTCCCAGCTATCTTTCCTCTCTTTCTCCTCCAACTTCTTAAAAAGTAACCATAGCAGCTGGAGAGATAGTTCAGCGAGTAGGTTGCTTGCTTTACAAGCATAGCTGACCTGGGTTGAATCCCTGGCATCCCGTATAGTCCCTTAAGCATTGCCAGGAATAATCCTGAATGATGAGCCAATTGAAACCTCTGAACATCACTGGGTATAATACAAACCAAAAAAGGTAACTTTAAGGGCCAGTGAAATAGTGTAAAAATGAAGGCACTTAGTTTGCTACAGCTTGGTTCAGCAATCAATGGTTCAAATATCAGCTAATGGTTCAAATATCAGCAAATACTGGGTATCCCTGAACACCACCAGGTGTGGCCCCCCAAATCAAGTGATGATGATGATGATAATAATAATAATAATAACTTATGAGTAAAATACTTCTCTTAAAATAGTCAGCTCTATTGCATACTACCTGAGGTGCCTTCAACTTCAGAGTTGCTTGTTTCACCGGTCTTTAAGATGCAATGGCCAGACCACTGAAGTCTAGTGCTGCCTTAAAATCTGGGTAAGGGAGCTGGTTAACCAGGGCAATCAATAAACATTTTTAGAATTTTTTTGTTTCTGTACTTTGGGGGTAGGAGTATAAAAGGAGTTCAGAAACAAAATCACTCTAGTTTTTTTTTAACTTTAGATGTAGGTGTAGATAATTATATTGATAAGGGAGAAGTGTGAACTGACATACATTATACATCAAAATTTTAAGTGTATATAAACTACAGCCAAACACTTTTATCCTATAGGTATACTTAGATGTATGTGAAAATATGTAAATATATTAAGTGGAAACAGCCACAGTGTGTTATTAGCATTTAGTTAAATAATGGCATATTCACACAATAGAATACTATGAAACCACAATTAAGAAATGAGGAAACACTGTGGATCCTGGCATGGAATGGCCTCAAAGAGATATTTTAAAGAAATATATATATATATATATATAATATGTAACAGTCCCAATTTTATAAACACACATATATACATATTACTTTATCCCTACAAAACAGTCTGAAATTTGTAAATTGTATGAAACATTTCTGGAATTTGACACAAGAAACTAACAGTAATTACCTTTGGAGTGGAGAACTGAGGTTGGTGTCAGAATTGAGCAGAGACTCATTTTTCACTGTATTTTCTTTCTCTATTCTTGAATTTTGTACCATATTTCTTTCCCAGAAATATGTGAAATTTAACTTTAACAAGTGTATTGAATAGCATTTACCAGGATTCATTGCCCACAACCAAAACTCCCAGTGAGCTCTTTCAGTAATAACATCTTCTAATTTTTTTTATAGACCTTTGTGTCACTTCAGTGTCAAAAGGAGGATTTGAAAGGGAAGAGACGGCAACATTCGCAGTGCTCTACAGATTGAGAAATATACTTTTTGAAAGAAGTATGTGCACCAAGGAATAATTCAAATATTTTCTTGGATTAACACGTGTGGTATATAAACAGTGATCCTGTCTGCTAAGGAAGAATTTTAATGCAAAAGCTAAATGACTGTATTTAGAAATGTAGTTCAGTTATCTAAGTTTTATTATTTCTAACGCGTGTCTCTATTTTGCTCTTTTAGATAGAAGGGTGATGGATGCCATTTCTCGTTCACAACTTTACTTAGATGAACTTTTCTCCGACTACTATGACAAACCTCTCAGCATGACTGATATTTCACTTAAGGAAGGGACTCATATTCGAGTTAACTTACTTAATCACAACATTCCAAAAGGACCTTGCATACTCTGTGGAATGGGGAACTTAAAAAGGGAGACAGTTTATGGGTGCTTTCAGTGCTCTGTGGATGGGCAAAAGTATGTAAGACTTCATGCAGTTCCCTGTTTCGATATTTGGCACAAGAGAATGAAATAAATGAAAAATGAATACACATGACTGTTGATGTACGTCCTACTCTGCCACTGAAATTATCAAGGTTCACGGTGATGAATTATAACAAATTTGGAGGGAGAGAAAATGTAAACCATGTAAAAAGTGGAAATCATAATAGTATCTGCTGCATAAATTATTATGATTGATGTAACTTATGTTAAGTAAAGCTTAAATGTAAAGTACAGAATACATATACTTTTTTTTTTGCAGTGCCAAGGTAATGCTCTACCACTAAGCCACATCCCTGGCCTAAAATTCTTACACAAAGTTGCCATTCAGAGTCTAGAGAGACAGTAGGTAGGGCACTTGTTTTGCACATGGCCGACCAGGGTCCGATCCCTTGTATGGCATATGATCCCGAGCCCTGCCAGGAATGATCCCTGAGTGCAGAGCCAGAAGTAAGCTCTGAGCACCACTGGGTGTGTCCCCCAAACCAAAAAATCTGTCATTCATTCAAGGAGTATTTTGTCTATCATTTTATAACTTTATACATAGAATTTTCTAAACAGCAAATTCAATCTACGTTTAATTCAGTATTTAAGGATGAGAAGAGTGCACTGTGGTAAAGTCATGGTGGTTTGAATATAGCCCTTGGTCTGGTAAAGTGAGGAAAATGTATTAATAATTCAATGTTATCCTAAATGTTTAATAGCAGTATCAGATTAAAAAGCATACTGAACTCAGCTTGGCATTCTGTATGTCAGTTAACATGGTGACTGAGGCTGCCATACTGCAGTGTACATATGCCCACAACTTTTGTCTTTAAACAAATTCATTATTGTCATTTTAATGCTAAGTTAGTTAGGGTGTATTCATTTTCCTCCTTAAAAAAATTAAAATGGGTCAGAGCAATAGTACAGCAGATAGTGCATTTGTCTTGCATGTGGTGAACCCTCATTTCATCACCAGCACCCTCTATGGTCCCTGAAGCCTGCCAGGAGAGATTCCTGAGTGCAGAGCCAGGAGTAAGCCCAGAGCACTGCTGGTTGAGGTTCCAAAACAACTACAAAATGTTAAAACACTTGACATTTCAACCTGAGAGATCCGTTTGTTTGTATTTCTGAGCTACACACAGCTGAGCTCACGGATTAGTCCTGGCTCTGCACTCGAGAATTAATTACTCCTAATGGGATGACAATGGATGCCAGAGACTGAATCCAGGTTGGCCACCTGGAAGGCAAACACCTTACCCACTGTATTACACTCTGGCACCAAAATCCTGAGAGATCTTTATCTACTCTTAAAGCTATCTTTTGAACTTTTTGTATACAAACTTCTTAATCTAAATTGTAAATTTTTATGCCCAATAAAATAATTGAAAAGTATATTAAAATTCTAGAACTTAAAAATGTATTACAGAACTCACTATAAGGTCTGTGCCTATGAGGACATAAGGCAATCGAGTAAAAATAGAGAAAACAATACATGTAGAATTAATAGAATTTAAAATGTGACAAAAATTGCAGAGTAAATCTCCATACTTGTCATATGTGTGTATATGTTTGTGTATATATATTATATATATATATACATATATATATATATATGGGCTGCAGCAATAGCACAGCGGGTAGGGCGTTTGCCTTGCATGCCGCTGACATGGCCGACCCGAGTTCGATACCTCTGCCCCTCTCGGAGAGCCCAGCAAGCTACCGAGAGTATCTCGCCCACACGGTAAAGACTGGCAAGCTACCCGTGACATATTCGATATTCCAAACACAGTAACAAGTCTCACAATGTTACTGGGTCCCCTCGAGCAAATTGATGAACAATGGGAGGACAGTGACAGTGATATATATGTATGTACACAACTATATAATTTTAATATATAATTGAACTTAGATTTCATTCATGCAAGAATGAATATATGATATATACTCACTTCACTTGAGTCAGATGTAAAGCCTGTTTTCTTTTTCCTAAATTTTTAGCTACTGTGAGATTACAAAATTATTATTGTTTGAGGCATACATTGTTTCAACCCTAATCTCTTCATCAGTGCCCACTTATCTCCACCAATCCCTACCCCAACTTGCCTCTCACCCACCAGTCTAACTCTATGAGGGGCACTTTAAAAAAATACATTTTGCACTGTGGTTTGCAATACTGTTGCTGACAGGGTTTCATAAATAACGCTTTACCATTTTCAGCACCATCTCCTCTTCCTGGCTGAGCCCTTCCCTTTATCATAGGCATTGCCCCCTCCCTGTCCTCTCCCCTGGCCACCTCAGGCGACTTGTTTCCTATTGAATACCAGTTCTTGGGGGTACAGTGCCACGCAGCAGGTCAACCTGTACCTGTGGGGTGAGTACATCAGCAGCCTGAATGTGACTTTAGGCTTCCTGATACCCCCAAATTGCTGCTATGACTCTGGCCAGACTCCAACAACTTGGGGCCAAGTTTACTAAGAAATTAAATGGTCAAAAGTTAGGTATGTGGGAGCAACACCCACAAACCACCTCCAGCTCAGCTATACAAGCTCATTTATTGGCCTTGCTTCAGAGACCCATAAATCTCAAGAGAGATCAAAATCGGGCCACTTTAAAGCCCATTAATGACCGTGATCACAAATGAATCTTGGAAGAGAGCAGCACGCTGCAGAGACATCTCCCCACCCTGCACCAGGCTGATTTCACCAGGGCAACTTGGAGGAGGGCAGGCGTGTCCCTCTTCCTGTCCCAAATGAACTCCAGCAGCTGCAGACTTCCAGAACCCAATCGTCGCCTGCTCACGGCCAACCTTCACACGCTCATCCCAGGCCCCCCACGCATGAGAATTGAATGCCAGTCTCATGTTCTTTGTTCTGTCTTTGGGCATTCATTATTGTTTCCTTATACCCCTCATGAGGGAGATCATTCTGTGTCGGTCTCTCTCCCTCTAACTTCACTCAGCATGATAATTTCTAGGTTTCTCCATGTTGCAGTAAACTGACCTTTATCTTTTCTTGTGGCTGATAATATTCCATTGTGTATGTACCAGTTTTTCTTCTTTTTTTTTTTTTGCTTTTTGGGTCACACTCAGCAATGCACAGGGGTCAATCCTGGCTCTGCACGCAGGAATTACTCCTGGTGGTGCTCAGGGGACCAGATGGGATGCTGGGATTCGAACCCAGGTTGGTCGCATGCAAGGCAAATGCCCTACCCGCTGTACTATCACTCCAGTCACCTATCAAATATCTTTTCTCCATTTTGGTTTTGGACCCTTGGGTTTTATTCTGAGAAGTGGGGTGCCTGAGTCAGATGGAAGCTCAATTTCTAGATTTATTTAGCAATGTCCAAGGCTAGACCAGTCAATATTCCCACCAGCTATGAATGAGGCTTTCTCCCTGCATCCACTCCAGCACTGGTTGCTCTTGTTCTTTTTGATGTGTGCCAGTCTCTGTGGTGTGAGATGATACCTCATTGTTTTGATTTGCATCTCCCTGATAATTAGTGATGCAGAGCACTTTTTAATGTGCTTTTTGGCCATTTGTATTTATGTCTTTGAGGAAGTTTCTGTTCATCTTTTTTCCCCATTTTTTGATGGGGTTGGATTTTTATTTTTTTGTAAAGTTCTACCAGTGCCTTGTATATTTTAGATATTAACCCCTTATCAGATGAGTGTTGGATAAATAGTTTCTCTCATTCTTTGTGCTGTCTCTGTATACTGGTTATAATTTCCTTTGAGGTACAGAAACTTCTTAATTTAATGCAGTCCTATTTATCTTTGCTTACACTTGTTTGGTCAGCAGAGTTTCATCCTGGAAGATGCCTGCAGCTTCCATTTCATGAAAAGTTCTGCCTAAAATTTCCTCTGTAACTTATATCAGACAAGTCCACTCAAGGGTGAAATACTACCAAGGGTGTGTTTCTCCTTTCCTTAGTCCAACAATCATTTAATTAATATCTTAATTAACATCTTAGTTCTACTTCTTAATATTAGTTATTTTGTATGGACACAGTAAGAGATTCAATAAGCTTGTAGCGCGGCTCTCCTGGGGACATCTCGCTATAGATCTCAGACTACGGTGCTCAGGCCAGATTAGTCTTTCCTAACCCTAGCAGGGTCCTAATCTAGTTGCTACTTTTTGGATTATGACAGAATTTGTCCATGACCGTGCTCTTAACTTACAGTTAAGTATTATGGCCTGGTCCATTTCAATGCCAGAGTAGCTCACAGCTTGCCCTGGGTCCATCCAGTCCCTCATCAGAATCCTGCTTTGGGGGTGCTAGGAAGTAAGGGAAACTGAGGCTTAAGTGGAGAGAACAGATGCCCAGGAGTGAATATTATTTGGAGTCAATTAACCCCCAAGTTACAAAAGCATAGCACTGTCTTCCTGTGTCTATACAAAAAGCACATTGCTCTGAATTAACTGTGCAAAGGACTTAAGAAGAGAAAAGCAATATTTACAAGTTAACAGAGCACAAAGAAAGAGGTTACAAATAAACACAGAGAATGGGAGCACTGTGATGGGAATAAACCAATAAACCTTAATTCCCTGTGGCAAGGTGGAAAGGACAAACCAATGTTATCCTACAGTATGGAACTGCTCGACCTCCACTACCTCCACTACCCAGCCGCCACCACGCTCCAGGCCACTGTTCGACCCTGCGGTCACTTCACGGCTGTGTGACACATCATAAAACACTTAATACCCATCTTCCAAGATTAAAAGGTAAAAGGTAAAGGCCCTCCTGTTGATCATCGATTTGCTCGAGGGGGCCCAATAACATCTCCATTGGAGACTTTGTTGTTACTGTGTCTGGCATATCGAATACGTCACAGGGAGCTTGCCAGGCTCTGCCGTGTGGGCGAGATACTCTCGGTAGCTTGCCGGGCTCTCCGAGAGGGGCGGAGGAATCGAACTCGGGTTGGCCATGTTGGCTGCGTGCAGGCAAATGCCCTACTGCTGTGCTATCACTTCCAAGATTACTGTACCATATTTGATGGGGTTCAAATATGGTTTGAACCATGGGAACACCTGCAAGGGTGATTAGAGGCCGCCCTAAAAGCTTCTATCCTTCTTGGAGAGCCCGGCAAGCTACCAAGAGTATCCCACTCACACGGCAGAGCCTGGCAAGCTATCCATGGCGTACTCCATATGCCAAAAACAGTAAATACAACGAGTCTCATTCCCCTGACCCTGAAAGAACCACCAATACGGCAGTGTTAAGAAGGATGAGGAAGGAGAGGCTGACAAAATCTCAAGGCCGAACTAGGCAGCCAAAACGAAGGAGGACAAAAATGACTGTCTGTACTTTCAATGCATGTATGCTGGCATCGGATGCATTCATCAAGGACCTGATGGTGCAAGCACGAAAGATCAAGTACGACATCATTGGTCTGACTGAGACAAGGAGGCATCAACCACATGACTCCATTTTCGACACTGGAGAAGTACTGTTCCTAGGAACATGCGACAAAAGAGGCATTGGTGGTGTCGGTGTCCTTGTCAACACAAACTTGGCCATGAGCATTGATTCATTCAAATGCCTAACAACCAAAATTCGATGATTATACTTAAATAGATGTGGCTCACTGCCGGCAGTTTCTATCTTCGTTGTCTACCCACCAAGATCCAATTATGATGAAGAAATTGAGAAGTTCTACATGGAGCTGGAGAAGTTGTATAAAAAAGACCACACCTTCCACAAGACCACTGTTGGTGATTTTAATGCCAAGATAGGACCAAGAAGATCAGCTGAAGAACTCGACATTGAGACCCATGGCCTAGAATGGAATGAACAGGGTGAGAGACTGTCTGAGTTCATCATGTTGACCATGGTAACTCATAGATCCAGAAGGCTGAATCTAAACGTTGGACAGGGGAGTCTCCCGGTGGACGGTTCCACAACAAAATTGACCACATCATATTCAATCGATGATTTTGCCTGCCTGATGATGCTGTTGTCCCAAAATTCCAAACAGGATCAGACCACCGTCTCCTTTGTGCAAATTTCTACTTCATGGAGTGGGGAGAAAGGGCTGCAAAGTTTAAGAAGAGAACTCCCAGAATGACCACCAACTAGGAGCTCTTTGGCACTATTGCGGCAACATGGGAAGATGCCAATCATTGACAACATTAAGGAAGAATATGATCGACTGGTTCAGCACCTCCATGATTGTGTGAGGAACACCGAGAGAGAGAAAGCCACAAAAAGACGCCTGTCTTCGAAAACTCTCGAGCTCATTCACCAACGTGGCTTGGGGCGAGCCTTAGGCAACCACAAGCGAATGTCCAAGGTCACAAAGCAGTGCAGAGAAGCGATCAAGGAAGACCTCAAAGAGAGAAGAGCAGCAGTGCTGGCCGATGCAGCAGAAGCTGGGAAAAGCATTTGCAACACCCGCCTGTTCTTCACCAACTACAAGACCAAGATGACTGTCCTCAGACGGCCTGATGGATCTATCACATCTTCCAGAAGGGTAATGGAGATTATCCACGACTTCTATTCGAATCTCTTCTATAGCCACGTCCACCTCCACATACCAATTCCACAGGATGGATATGTCGTTCCCAATGTTTTCCCTTCTGAAATCCAATACGCCATTTCATTGGAAAAGAAGTGAACAGCACCTGGCCCAGACAAGGTCAGACCTGAAGATTCTGTTGTCAGTACTCATCAATAGACTTGCTTGGCTCTGCAGAAGCTACCTGTCTGAATGCAAGGTTCTGTCCCAATGGAAAACCAGCAGGACCGTTCTACAGTACAAGTAGGGAGACATCCATGACATTGGCAACTACTGCCTGATCTGCCTGTTGTCCGTCGTCTATAAGCTGTTCACTTGAGTATCCTGAATAGGATTGACAGAACATTAGATGAAGGACAACCATGTGAGCAAGCCAGCTTCCAAAAAGGATTCAACATGATTGACCATATCCACACTGAAACCAAGCTTATTGAGGTTTCTCAGGAGTTCAAGATGCTGCTCTGTCTAACATTCATTGATTTAAAAAAGGTCTTTGATTGTGTTGAGATGGAAGCAGTCATTGAAGCCCTAGCCAAACAGTGTTCAAACTCAATATATCAGGATCCTCCGTGAACTGTATTATGGATTCACTACCAGGATCTCACCATTCTACAAGGACGTGATCATCGACGTCAAGAGGGGTTCAGCAGGGTGATACCATTTCACTGAAACTCTTCAGTGCCACCCTCGAGAACATCATGCGACAAGTGGAATGGGAAAGAATGGGAGTAAAAACAGTCGGCAACTACACCACCTCTGCTTCGCGCTGATGACATCGTTCTAGTAATACCAAACATTAGTCAAGCAGCACAAATGCTGGCCGACTTCGACCGTGAGTGTGGAAAGGTCAGACTGCAGCTGAATCTCATGAAGACAATGTTTATGAGAAACGAAGTCGTTCCTGACATTCCATTTGCTCTCAATGGAATGAACATCTCCTAATGCAACAGTTATGTGTACCTAGGTTGAGAAGTCAACATGACAAATAACCTGGTACCTGAGTTGCACAGGAGGAAGAGAGTGGCTTGGAACACCTTCAAGAGTGTTGAAGAAATAGCTAAGAGGATGAAGAACCTTTGGCTCTGGGCACATCTCTTGGACTCCACCGCTCTTCCTGCATTAACACACACCTCAGAGACCTGGGCCCTACGAAAACAGGATGAGAACACTATTCAGGTCTCCCAAAGAGGAATCAAAAGAGCTATACTTGGATTATCACGCTTCACTTAAGTGAGAGAAAGAATTTGGAGTTCCGACCTCCATCGACGATTGAAAATCAGGGATTCTGTGTCGTTTGCCAATGTGTCGAAAATCAGATGGGCTGGACACATAATGCAATTTGGAGATGACCACTGGAATAGAGCCATTACTGACTGGATTCCATGGGATGTCAAAGGATTGTGTGGTGCTCACCTACGAGATGGTCACACTTCTTTGTCAAGACCCTGAACGATCGGTTTGAGGCTCTTCATGTTCCTGGAGCAAGGAGACGCCATTGGGTTATACTAGCACACAACAGGGACGAATGGAGATGTTACTGGTGCCCACTCGAGCAAATCAATGAGTAACGGGATGTCAAGTGATCAAGTGATGGCAGTGCTCAGGGGTCACTCCTGGTTCTGTGCTTGGGGATTGCTCCTGGTGGGGCTCAGGGATCAAACCTGGGTCAGCTGTGGAAGGAAAGTGTCTTCCCCCTGTACAAACTCTCCAGTCCAGGGATGATAGATATTTCACTATAAAGACCTAGCAGGAAGAAGAGTGGCACATCTATAATGATACGTGAGGGAGTGAATATCAGGCAAAGTATAAACTTGCCTGATAGAAGAGGCACAAAGTCTTTGGTAAAATATTTTAAAAAATTCCTCATTGATAGAAGTCCCAAGCCCAGAAGATTGCATGAAAAAGAGACTATGTTTCAGCTTTCTTTATACATAAATATTTGTTTTTTTGGCTATACTCAGCACTGCTCAGGACTTACTTCTAGTTCTTGCTCAGGAATCATACCTGGTGGGCTCAGAGGACTGTATAGGATGCTGGGCCCTGAACTCGGGTTGGCAATGCGCAAGGCAACCCACTGTACTATCACTCCAGCCCCAGCCTTATCATTTTTATATCTTGCTACCTGTTAAATCATGAAATATATACACACAAGAATTGTTATTTCCTGAGTTCCTACTAAGTATTTTTCAAATAGGTGGCATTTTTTTTCTTTTTGGGTGACACCCGGTGATGCACCGGGATTACTCCTGGGTCCACACTCAGGAATTACTCCTGGTATTGCTACCTGTTAAACCATGAAATACAGACATGAAATGTTAATTCCTGAGTTCCTGCTAAGTATTCCTCAAATAGGTGGCATTTTATTTTTCTTTTTAGGTTATACATGGCGATGCACAAGGGTTACTCCTGGTTCTACACTCAGGAATTACTCCTGGTGTTGCTTGGGGGACCATACAGGATGCTGGGAATTAAACCTGGGTCAGTCATGTACAAGGCAAGCCTACCCACTGTGCTATAGCTCCAGCCCCTAGTTGGCATTTTAACACTTAAAAAAATCTTTTAAAAATTGGTATTTACATACTATTTCATTGTGTTGCAATTCATGTTCACAGAATAAAGCAATAGACAATACAATCAAACCTCTCCTCAAAGTTAAATTTGCAAAGCAGCCTCATGTTTATTGTACTAAAATCATACATTTTCATGAGTATCAAAATATGTTCTCATAGGGGAAACAATAACTCGGAGTGTGTATGTGTGTGTGTATTCATAAATATATGTAACAACTACATATGTATAAAATACAATAAAAGTAAAATGAAAATATGCTATAATTCATCATGTTGATATATATTGTATTCTCTGGAGGAAATGAAACCATCACCATCATGGTCATTCTTCTTAAAAATATCTTCTAAAACTGCATTCTGGTATGACTTGTCACGTGGCTTCTCATCTTTTTCAAATTCCTTTTCCAAGTAGTGATTTATCTAGGGAACCAAAGTAATATTTCTTTAATATAAAGGCATCACAATAAACTTTCATGACACTGAGGAATGTTTACATTCAAAGATTTGCACATTACCTATCAGACATGGAAAAGAATATCTGCTTCTCTGGTCTAGGTAGACAGTACAAAGGACTGTAACACACGCCTGACACCCAGAGGACAGAGTTTGATGTCCCACACTACAAAGCCCCTTTGACCATTGTCAGAAAAGGGACTGAGCAGTACTGCATCACTGGGCCTGATCAGTGAAAGTCAGACCTACACTACCAGCTGAGCACTGCTGTGAGTTGCCTGAGGCCTTGAGCACTGCTTGGGTGGCCTCCTTCCAAAGGAAAAAAAAAAAGACCCTTAATATTTGAGACAGTTTACAAATAATTTAAAAGCTATAGGATGCTAATTATTTTTAAAGCTTTGAAGCAATTTTCTCAATAGAAGAAATCTTCAATTTAGCCTTCTGAGTTTATAGATATTTAAGCTCTGTAAATAATGTACATATCCAAAGATTAACAACTGAGTTTGGTTAAAATAAATGCTTTTCAATAATCTACACTGTTCACATTATCAAAGGAAAATCAATCTCAGTGATTTTTATTTGTGGACATAATTCAAATGGGCATTTTATTAATTTTTATTTGCCTCTATGGCTTACTTTATAATAAACATAAGTATTACAACGCCTGATAATACAAAATAAGCGAACAATTATTGCAAAGTATTCTCTTTCCTGTATATAATATTCTTGCACATTGAAGCTTAAACACTAAGAAGGAAACAAGCACTGACTGAAGTGGCAGCTACTAGTCCCACACACCAACCAACCACTTGAAACACGGTAAGATCAAACTGAGATCAAACTGCAGGAGCAAAATACACATTAAAAAGACAACAAGTATTACTTTGATAGCACAAAGAGATGGTAAATTTTAGATGTACTGCATTAAAATATATTAAGACTAAATGTCATTGTTTCTTTTACTTTTAAAGATGTGGCTACTAAGAGTATTTTGATTTTTGGCCCATACCCAGCAGTACTCAGAGATCACTCCTGGTGGGGAGTAGGAAAAATATGTGTTGCTAGAGTCCAACCAGTGTTGGCCATATGCAAGGCAAGCACTTTATTCTCTGTACAGTCTCTCTGGCCCCCAAGGAAAAATATTTTGATTATACGTGTGGCTCAATATTACCATTGGCAAGCACATATGTACATATACGGGCTGGAGCGATAGCATAGCGGTAGGGCGTTTGCCTTGCATGCAGCCAACATGGCCGACCCGAGTTCGATTCCTCTGCTCCTCTCGGAGAGCCCGGCAAGCTGCCGAGAGTATCTCGCCCGCACGGCAGAGCCTGGCAAGCTCCCTGTGACGTACTCGATATGCCAAACACAGTAACAACAAAGTCTCCAATGGAGATGTTACTGGGCCCGCTCGAGCAAATCGACAAACACGGGAGGGCCTTTACCTTTATATATAATAAAGAAAGCAATTAATTTTTCAATTAATGTGGAAAAATGTGTTAAGCAAGGTGAGGGCATTTTAAAGGCAAGCATATTTAGTGGCAATTTGTTCCCTGAGAAATTTATAGAGTTACACATTCCAAACCCTATTCATATGCATAGAATTTACTTTAGAAAGTTCAATGAGTTGTGTGCTTGTAGAGGGTGGTAGGGGCTAAGGTTGGGGCTTAGGCCACACAGTGTGGTGCTCTGGGGCAATTCCTTGCTCTAAACCAGGGATCATTCCTGGCAGTGCTCATATGTGGTGAGGGAGACTCAGAGTTGGTCACGTGCAAGGCAAAAAGTTAATGACTGTACCATCTCTTCAGCCCCTGCTCAGTGGATCTTATTGAAGGGTAGAGCAACTGTTTTAAATAGGTTTTATGATTTATGTGAGGGAGATACTTTTTTTTTTTCAACAGAGCTTTAGCAACTCTAAGGTGAAAGAATTTTAAATGGCTGGAAATAATCCTGATTTGACTAAAATTTTCTGATAAGGCAAGTTTCTTCTTTGTTTCCTTCTTTCTCTTCCTTTCCCCTTCCTTTTTCTTCTTCCTCCCTCCGCCTCCTCCTCCTTTTCTTTTCACGATTCTCTGTTGTACCAGGCGGTTACTCCCAGCTCAGTTCTTGTGGGGGCCACTTGCGGGACCCTGAGGTGTCCTAGCCAGACTTTCTGTATACAAATCTTCCACTCAGCTAGCTCACTGAGCCAACTCTCCAGTCCTGTGAAGCAAGGTAGTTTCTTCAAGTTCATCTTTCCAGTCCAGGTTTCACCATGGACTGGCTGTGTGATCTTAGATAAATAACTCAAACTCTTTGAATTTTTCTAGTGAGGACAAAAATATAATAAAAATAATACAGATGTATTGTTTAATTGGAGTTTAATCACTGCCTGTGGCCGTCATTGAGAGAAAGCTATCATTATTCAGGCATAAATGACTCATCCACTTAGCAATAAAGCAGTTGACACCTGAGAAACACCTGGAAAAATTGTAGGTAGGCAACACATGATTATGGACTTTTTTATTTTTATTTTCCAGGTAGGATCTGAGATTCCTGAATGTCACCCAAGCAGTATTCATAATGAAAGAGGCAGTGCTTGGTGTATAGGGGATACTGCATCTCAGTGTGTACAGAGGTTGCATCCTGAATACTATGTGAATTCACCTGCAGCTGCTGTTCACGCTAGGGAGGGTGCTCAGGAGCCAACGGAAAACACATTCTGGGAGCAGTTTGCCACCCCTTTAATTGTGCTTCATTTTAAAGAACAATGGGTACTATATTTCCTTATCTCTCTCATACTGTTGACCAGCCAAAGAGCCTCATTAATAAGTAGGAGTAGGGAGTAGAATTAGGGAAGGAAAAGGATGAAGGTGGTGGAGGCAAGATATAGAGCAAGAGGGCTTACTCTTATCACTTGAAATCAACAATTACTTTTTATTCCTTAACTATTGTGTCAGTGTTACAGGGATGGGGGGCCCTGGTAGTGACTAATGGGGATAGAAACACTCTCTGGAGCCTAAACCAGTCCACAGACAAGAAGGTCTATGAGACACAGGGTCCATCAGAGGAGACCAGAAAACCTTTTCAGAAACAGAATTCCAGGCACAGAGCATGGCTATCCACCAGCCCCTGAGAGAAGAATCTCCACAGCTGGAACTGTGAGTTCACAAAATAAAAGTGGGGGCTGGACCACTGTGAGTTCCATGGCCCAGAGCCTCCTCCCCACCTCCCCTACAGAAAGACAGGGAGGCAGAGGAGGGCAGGGGGGGCACAGTCTGATAGTGAAATTGGCCCATTTAATGCAGAGCTGCTAGCATACTTACAGAACATCTGAATGGGGAGTTGAGATAAGGACATAGGTGTGATTGATCATTTACTTAGATAAACATTTGGTGGAGAAAACTCTCTTGGGGAGATTAACTCAAGGAGACACTGTCTCCCAGGACATCTGGAATGGACCCGGAGATGACATCTACGTTGCTTTTATCTTTTCTTCTAGTTGTATAAGTTATTAATACTTGCAGTTGTTTGGATGAACACAGGAAGAGACAAAGATCCTAATACTTAGCTCTCTGGGCTTTGAGAGTAATCAAGGCTTTTAACATTTCTCTGAGCTCTGAGACCAAGCAAGGCTTTTACCATAAATCTCAGACTAAGCTCTCAGGCCAGCTCAGCTTGTCCTTCCCCAAGGGGGTCCTGTCTCTTAAATTGTAACAGCTTACATCAAGACCAAGCATTTGTGCTTTCTAGAATGTTCCATTTTGATGCTAGGTGGCTTTGCCACTCGCTTCGGGTCCATCCCAGTCCCATGGCGGGACCTCCCTTTCTGGGGTCTTAGGAACTACAGCAACTGAAGCCTGAGTCAAGTAATTATGACCAAGTAATTATCCCCAGGAGTAGATATATTTCAGAGTCAATCAACTCCAAATGTTAGGAGCATAGCATTAATGGTTTTTCTGTGTTTAACCAAAGAACACTGCTCTATAGTAAAATATGAAAAGGCTATAGGGGAAATAGAAAAACAGGTACAAATATACAGCAATTCAAATACAAAGCAGTACAAATATAAAATTCAGAATTACCAGAAAGTTTTGAGCTATAAGTAATCAAAACTGACTTGGGGAACTGTGACAATGAGAGGTAAAATGCCAGGGAAAGGTTAAAGAAAAACTTTAACTAAATTAGGAATGCTAGCAAGAGCATGTTAAACTTCTCTGGGAAGAAGAAAGGGGGCAATTCACCAGTGAAGCCTGAAACAGGGTTGATATCCAGCAGGAGGAAAGACTATGTAAAGAATGTCAAAGACCATCAACAGCTCCAAGCTCTCCCTGTTGGCAATGGGCCTGGTAATAGACTTCAGGACCAGTTTAGGATAACTGCGTAGATATGAACTTGGTAATAGAACCGTAAGCATTCACCTGCATCTGTCTGAGATGTTTTTTCTTTTACACTAGGGCTTCTTTGGCCCCCATCTCTCCTGAGATGAGCATTTTCTTAGTTTAGGGCACATTTCCCCACACTGGGAAAATGGTCTGTATATCCGTTCTTGGCATGTGTTCTTTTTCTTCCTACTCTGGAGAAGCCTGTGTTCACTCTTAAACACATGTTTTTTCCTTCCTTTATTTACCAAACACAATTGTTTATTTACCTTTATTTGGGGGTGGGGTGGGGGGGCACATCCAACAGTGCTCAGGGACTTTGCACTCAGAGATCACTCATGGCAACGTAAGGTGACCATATGGTATTCTGGGGATCCAACCCAGGTTAGAGGCATCCTGCCTCTGTACTATTGCTCTAGCCCCCAAATAAACTTGTCTTACCTCACTATTCATCTTCTCTCAAAATTATTTTCTGTGCGGGAAGGGAATGAACTTATAAAAGTAAGATTTAGGACTAACTTCCCTTCCCTTGCAAAAATCCTGAGTTCCAACAGCTCCCCTAGAAATTCATTGCAGGGATCATTTCCTACACCCTTAAGAACAATTGGGACTCAAGTGAGGTTTCACAAGCACCTCATGGGCATGGTGAGACATGAGGTATGTAGCATGCAGGTGATCATAGAAAACTCTCAACAGTCCTAGGTTCCCCAGACACTTTCCTGGGTAAGAGGAAAACGGTTGTCTGTCCACTCCTGGCTGCTGCCTTTCTCCTCCCCACTTCACATAAGCCACACATAAGCCTCTTTTCATGAGTCACCTCTCCCATTGGCAACTGCAGTTCTACTTATTACACTTCCTCTAACAGAGGAGGATGACTAGACCAATTTGAGCAAAAGTGTACAGTCAGTGATACTAAGACAGAATTCAACAAAAACTTTGACCTGGTAATATTCACGATGAAAATATCCAGAGTGGCAAATCTGACTCTGCATATAAGAAAACTCTTGCAGCTAGATTGCTAGGGTTCAGCTTGCCAACCAGACCGGAATTCCTGATACAGGAAGGGAGTGTGGCCTCCATGGCAGGGGTATGGCCTTAGGGGGCAGCAGTAGTTATTTTCCCCTGTCCCCACACTCTGGACTTATATCTCAATCTCCATTACCTAACTCTTCGGAGAATATCTTGGCCATCTCAAACACAATAAGCCAATAGGTCAATAGCCTATTTCAATTTCACCAAAACACTGATGAACACAAGAAGCTGTACAATCCTAATATAAAAGAATATATTCTTTGAAGAGACCCTCCTTCACTGCTGGTGGGAATGCCGACTGGTTCAGCCCTTTTGGAAAACAGTATGGGCAATTCTCAAAAAATTAGAAATTGAGCTCTCCAATTTGATCCAGCAATACCACTCCTGGGAATATATTCCAGAGAGGCAAAAATGTATAGTCGAAGTGACATCTGCACTTGTTTGTTCATTGCAGCACTCTTTACAATAGCCAGAAACTGGAAGAAACCTGAATGCCCAAGAACAGATGACTGGTTAAAGAAACTTTGGTACATCTATACAATAGAGTACTATGTAGCTGTTACAAAAGATGAAGTCATGAAATTCATATATAAGTGGTACTACATGGAAAGTATAATGCTAAGCAAAATGAGTCAGAGAGAGAGAGATAGACATAAAAAGACTGCATTCATCTGGGGGACATAAAGTAACAAAATAGGAGATTAATACCCAAGAATAGCCGAGATCAGTACCAGGAGGATTACTCCATGGCTTAGAGGCCAGCCAGGCATGCTAGGGGAAAGGGCAGCTCAGATAGAGAAGGGAGCACCAAATAAAGGGTGTTTGGAGGATCCTCCCAGGAGGGGAGATGCATGTTGAAAGTAGACTATGGACCCAACATGATTGCCACTCAATGCCTCTTTTGCAGAACACAACACCCAAAAGGAGAGAGAGAACAAAAGGGAATGCCCTGCCACAGAGGCAGGGTGGGATGGGGAGATGGGGGTGGGAGGGATACTGGAATCCATGGTGGTGAAAAATGGGCACTGGTGGAGGGATGGGTATTTGATCATTGTATAATCGAAACCCAAGCACAAAAATTTGTAAGTCTAAAAAAAAAAGAATAAAAGAATGTATGATGGCTTCTATGATTTCCTAACATGAATTATTTTCATGTCTTCAAAAAAAAAGAATATATTCTTTGAAACTTCACTTGAAGTCTCACATAAGTCAGAGAGGAGCACCTAAGTGGAACATTGTATTCTAGAAAGGGAAAAAGGTGACCAGCATTGACCGAGCTCATCGAGAATCCTTTCTCGCAGCAAGAGGGGAATACTGATAGTGAACTGGAAGGTCCCACCTCCATACTACCACAACATAAAGAAATAGCACAAATCCTCACCATGAGGAGAGGATGAAGAAAAGAGTTCAGGAGCCTCAATAGAGGTTACCCACAAATATGATCTCTCTTATAAAGAATTCAGAGATGAAATGTTGAAGATGCTCAATGAACTCAAAGAAACAATGGAACAGGCATCCAGTAAATTAAAGGAGGACATGAAAGAAACAGTGGAATCGACAGCCAAGAAAATATAGGAAGAAATGAGAGCAGAAATAAGAAAGCTACAAATAGTGGTGTCACTAATAAAGGATTTGGTAGATGAAATAAAAAACTCAGTGGGTGCCCTCAACAGTAGAACTACAGCTGAAGACAGAATCAGTGAGCTTGAAGATGAGCTGCAGAAAGCTTACAGGCAACAACATACAATGGGAAAAGACCTCATAATAGCTCTAGGGCGAAACAGAGACTTAAGGGAAGAATCCAAGAGGAACAGCATAAGAATCATAGGAGTACCAGAAGGACAGGGAGGCAACCCCAATGAAAAAGCCACAGTCAAAGATATCATTGCTGAGAAATTCCCAGAGCTGGAGAATGCAGGCATCCATATCCAAGGACCCCATAGGGTGCCAGTCAAAAGAGACCACAGATTGCTAGGGTTGCAATCTGCTTCTGACTTAGAGCTGTGTGGCCCTTAGGTCAGTGGCTAAGCCTATCTGAACATCATTTTCACTTGCATGAAATGGGGATGATGGCAACGGTGTCTACTTTATGAGTTGAAGATTCAATGAGTTTATACAGTAATGTGTTTAATCACCAGCTACAGGGAATCCATTGGCTCTCTCTTGCCTCTTGTATTCGGTGGTCTCTCTCGGACCAACTCCCCGCATTGCGGGTAACAACCAAACCCTGGTCCTATAGCACAATCAACATTTAAGAGCCCTCCACTCAAGGGTGAAATACCACCGAGGGTGTGTTTCTTCTTTCCTTAGTTCAACAATAATTTAATTAATATCTTAATTAACATCTTAGTTCTACTTCTTAATATTAGTTATTTTGTATGGACACAGTAAGAGATTCATTAAGCTTGTAGAGTGGCTCTCCTGGGGACATCTCGCTATAGATCTCAGACTACGGTGCTCAGGACAGATTAGTCTTTCCTAACCCTAGCAGGGTCCTAATCTAGTTGCTACTTTTTGGATCATGACAGAATTTGTCTATGACCATGCTCTTAGAGTTAAGTATTATGGTGCTTTGACCTGGCCCATTTCGATGCCAGGGTAGCTCACAGCTTGCCCTGGGTCCATCCAGTCCCTTGTCAGAATCCTGTTTATGGGGCGCTAGGAAGTAAGGGCAACTGAGGCTTAAGTGGAGAGAACAAATGCCCATGAGTGAATATTATTCAGAGTCAATTAACTCCCAAGTTACAAAAGCATAGCATTAACTGTCTTCCTGTGTCTATACAAAAAGCACATTGCTCTGAATTAACTGTGCAAAGGACTTGAGAAGAGAAAAGAAATATTTACAAGTTAACAGAGTTTGATTAGGAGATTAAGCTGATTGACCAGTTGGGGAAGCACAGTACAAAGAGGTTACAAATAAACACAGAGGAATGGGAGCACTGTGATGGGAGTACCCAATAAACCTAAGCTCCCTACGGTAAGGCAAAAAGGACAAACCAATGTTATCCTATAGTAATGTACTTCTAATATTATAGGCTACAAAGAAAATAAGAAAAAAATACATTTTACTGAGATTGTTACTACTCCCTCAAGTAATACAAAAATAAAACTCACTGGAATGTGGAAGACTAGGAAGCTGAACCTTCTGGATTCTGTTTACCAGCTTTCTAATTCTCACAAGGATTTTTCTTAATCCTATTCATACTCTGAGGAGGTAGGAATAATTGGCTCTATTATGACTTATCATACCAGTGATTGAGATCTACTACTATAGTCCAAATGCTGGAAATGCTCGGTAGACATTACTTTGGTATTTAGATAGGGTTTTGTTTGTTTTGGGGCAACATCTGGCAGTGCTCAGGGATAACTCCTAGCAGTGCTCAGGGGACTGTATGAATTGTCAGCAGTTAAACCATGGTTCACCACATGCAATGTAAACATATACCCTCTGCTTTATCTTTCTGACACTACTTTAGTGTTTTAGTGACCTTTTTGTGGAGAAAAGCAAACAACCCAGCTACAAATGGAATAATGAAAAAAACACATTTTCTTTTGCAAGCTTAGACTTGCTGGTAACCCGCACTAGTCAAAGTTTCCAACCCATATTAGGTAAACTGAAAAATTATAGCTGAAACACATATATATTTAAATTATTATGGCATAATCCCAACCATACACATGGAATTGTCTAAATTACCTCAGTTTTAGAAAGTTGCCTGTCATTGTCTATATCTATCTGTTTAAATGTTTCAACACTTCGTGGTCCTTTGGTCACAGCATAAAGTTCAATCTCAAAGATCAGTGTTGCGTTGGCTGGAATCTTGCCATCAGCTGAGGATATAAATTTTAACAGTTTAACTTACATGATGATAAATGTTGAAATATTTATTCACAAATAGTCATTTTTATGATTACATCACCTTAAAAAAACTGATTTCTAAGTAATTTTAAGGAAAAATTTCTGTTTTGAAAACAAATCAAAGGACCCAGGAGATCATCATACCCTCATCTATCTTTCTTTCTTTCTTTCTTTCTTTCTTTCATGTTTTTTTGGGTCACACCTGGCGATGCTCAGGAGTTACTCCTGGCTCTGCACTCAGGAATTACTCTTGGCGGTGCTCAGGGGACCATATGGGATGCTGGGAATCAAACCTGGGCCAGCCATGTGCAAGGCAAACGACCTCCCCACTGTGCTCTCTCTCCAGCCCCCATACCCTGATTTTTAAAATTGTGTAATTTGTGTTAATTTATACTCCATTAATAGTGATCACTATGCAGGAGACACAGAAAAGAAATGCACGAGTGGGATGGCCGAGAGCCAGAGAAGTGCAAGTACAAGTGCTTGCCTTGCCTATAGTTAGTTATTCCATGATACCACCGGGTACGGCCCCCAAACAAGACCAAAAACAAATGAAATAAAAGCATAGGTGGAAAAATTTCAAAGTGAGAAACAGAAGTCTCCTAGAAAATGATTTTGTGTAGCTCTTTTGAAATGCAAATAAAACATTCTAATCAACATACTTACCTCTCAAATTTCTCTTTTTTGGGGGAGGTCATTTGGCCCACACCTGGCAGTGTTCAGGGGCAATACTGGCTCTCTACTTCAGGGTCAATGCTGGTGGTGCTCAGGGCACCAGGCAGTATTGGGGATCAAACTGGGGTGGACTGCATGCAAGGCACGTGCCCAAACAGCCCATGTACTATCTCTCTGGTTCAAGAAGAAATTTCTAATTACAATAACAATTAAACATTACATTGAATAGTTCTCTTAAGTTTATAAACAAGTTTCACTTCATTTTTTTAGCAAGCTATGGAACTTTTAAATGACCCTTTCAAAAACTGATTTGCTACAACACAAGTGGCTAACTTCTCACTCTGCCTGGTCCATTATATTGTTGAATGAATGGCACCTAACATTAAAAACAGTGACTGTATGTCCTCAGAAGGGCATAGCAATTTCCTTGGTGAAAAAGTATAAAAGTCGTTATAAAGTATTTATATAATTTAAAGAGAAAAAAAGATTCAAAGATAGTCGTCAGTCATTTCAAAAACCAGGACGCAAATGTGCAAGTCCCAACACCATCTATTACCTTAAGACCAAAAGAGTCAAATATCTAGAGATTTATTCAGTGGTCACTTTTGTCAAAATACATTTTTATTTAATCCAATCATGATCTTTTGGAAGAAAAATAATTGACAATTAGTAAATCCAAATTTGTCTTCTCTATTCTAGGTTCTGAAACACACCAGCAGTGCTCAGGGGCTAGTCCTTGCTTGATGCTCCAGGGGCTCTGTAATGTCTGGGATTGAACCCAGGAGTCCTATATATAAATCATATTCTCCAACCATTATCTCTTTTCCCCCCAACCTCTAAATATCTTTTTTCGACATGTATGAATCATACCCAGGGAATCACATGTGTAAGGCAAGTGCTCTGCTGCTAGCTACTTTCCTGGCCCAAATTTATATTTTTTAATTAGTTAATTAATTTGTTTATTGGTGTTAGGGCTACACCCAGCTGTGCTGGCTCTGCATTCATGATTCACTTCTGGCTGGTTTTGTGCATCATGTGTGGTGGCCAGGGAATGAATCCAGGTTGGCTGTGGACATGGCAAGCAGCCCATCCTCTGTAGTATCTCGCCAGGCCCCAAGTTTATATTTCTTAAGAAAAGTATTAAAGGGCTCAGAGAACTGGAGCACATGCTTTGTAGGTAGAAGGCCCAGGTTTGCCCCACAGCACTGCATGCCTTCTAGAGTACAAGTGGCAGTAAATTGCAAGCACTTAGACAGGTGTAGCTGCCTGGGCATCACCAAGTTTGCCCTCCCTCCCTCAAATGGGAAATAAAATAACAGTAAAGAAGGCAGAAGCAGAAATCTCTGAACCGTCAATTAGGCTTTTTTGCTTACAAATAAATTAGAGAAAAACATTTATTTGCCATTGAGAATTACTTGCATTTAGAAAAGAGAAAAGACAGAAGAGAATGTCAAGACTATACATACCATCAGTACTGTTAATGAAAGTGGGGGAAAGTCACATGCATTTCAAAACATGCAGGAGGTGCTGTGACATGAAGCAAGGGAACTGCTCAGAGGAAAGACTTCATCAAGTATTACCTAAAATAAAATTAGAGCTAGTGTTAGTTCTTAATGATAGCTTATTTCAAAAAGCTTATTTGATCGATTTGTTTGTTAAGCAATTTCTTACAGTCTGCACTGCAACTTTTAAAATAATTGAATATGGAGCTGGAAAGATAGTACTGTGGGTAGGGTGCTTGCTTTGCATGTGGCCAACTGAGGTTAATCCTTGGCACCTCGGATGGTCCCTTAGGCCCCATCAGGATTGATCTCTGAGTACAGTCAGGAGAAAGCCCTGAGCATAGTCAGGTTTGGTACCCAAGTCAAAATAAATAAAATCAATTCAAACTATCTTAATGCAGATGGGGTACTTCTAGAAAACACACCTGAGGGGTGGAGGCCCGTTTCTTTAAATATAAAAGTAAGTTTGTGGTGGTGGTAGTAGTTGGGTTCTTTTTGTAAAAAAAATTTTAGTTTTTTAAATTTTGGGGCCATACTTTGCTCAAGGTTTATTTCTGGCTCTGCACTCAGGGATCAGGACTGGCGGTACTCAAGAAACCACAGGGTGCTGGGGATTGAAACAGGGTTGGCAACATGCAGCATGCAAGGCAAACCACCTTAAGCCTTGTACTATCACCCACACTCAGGATTCATGATCTCTATCTCTAATGGAGATATCTCAAACTGAGTATGACCGTCTTCAAGTTAAATTTCAACAGACATTTAGCAAAGGTCTGAATCATTAGTTTTGGCCTCTTGGGTAAACATTCTTATCTAAATCCATACTAGTTTATGTAAAGGGTGAACTAAGCAACCTTTTACTTTAGGGTGCAGGGACTCAACAGGATGAGCACCTACTGGAGAGGGATGTGGGTGTTTAGGCAGTAGGGGAGTGGGTGAGTGGGCAGAATGTGACTGCATCTGCAACAGAAAGGAAAACTCTAAAAACAAGATGAATACTTTGGCATTTATTTATGCTATTCTTCTTTGGGTCTAAAACTCAACCCTTAGTACCCCAGGTGGGACTTGAACCCACAATCACTGGTTTAGGAGGCCAATGCCTTATTCATTAGGCCACCAGGGCAGGAGAGATAGCACAGCAGGTAGGGCATTTGCCTTGCACGAAGCCAACATGGCCAATCCAAGTTCGATTCCTCCTGCCCTCTTGGAGAGCCTGGCTAGCTACCGAGAATATCTCGCCAGCACGGCAAAGCCTGGCAAGCTACCTGTGACGTATTCGATATGACAAACACAGTAACAAGTCTCACAATCTTATTGGGCCTGCTCGAGCAAATCGATGAACAATGGGAGGACAGTGACAGTGACAGTGATTGTTCTTTGGGTCAACCTGGTGGTGGTCAGGGCTTACTCCTGGCTCTGCTCCCAGGTATCACTCCTGGAAAGTTTGGGAGACCATATGGGGCATCAGGGGTAGAACCTGGGCCAGCTGTGCACAAGGCAAATGCCTTCTCTACCCTCTGAACTATTGCTCTTGCCCTTTATCATTATGCCTAGGAATTGGCCTCAACGTATGACAGCATTTTCAGAACAAATACTGCACCCAATTTATCTTTAATTTTCTCTTTGCCAGGTTTCTCTACTAAAAATAAAACATGCAAACTACGGTTTCACGGGTCTTGAATGGGAACACACGACTGGCCAAAAGGGACTGACATGGAAGCTGTTGCTTATAGAACTGCCTCTTTAGGAGTTGTGAGTCTGCTGGGTCTGATTTTCAATACTAACCTCTCTCCTGTCCAGTCTGGAGCGGTGACCCTCGCCTCTGTAAGAGAAGGGAATCACTTCTCAGGAGGAAACAGTCTCAAAAAAGCCTTGCCAGAGCTGGAGAGACAGGCAGAAGTTCTGTCTTGAGCACAGAGCCTGCATAGCAACTGATTACTGCCTGATGTGGTCCAATCAGTCCCCATCTCTCCCCCACCCTGCACCATATCCCCAAAGGTGTGCTATATCAATAGACTATGTGGGATAAAAAAAATTTAAAGAAATCTTCAATTGCTTTAATTATCTACCAAGTATTAAAAATAGGTGAAGTTAGTAAAGGTTGTAAATATACTCAGTAAATTCATTCTAGCCTATATACAGCTGCAGGAAGTAAAACCCTATGGGGTTAGTCTGCATCTTGGAAAACAGAGAAAAAATTTTCCGAGATGGAAAATACCCTTCTGCACAATTTGCTCCTATTCCCTCTCTTTTTTGCTTCTTTATTAACTTCAGTGATTTTAAATTTTTTAATGCTGGGGGAAAAGGAAGCTCAGATAGGGAACACCAAGTTAAGGATGTTTGGAGGATTGGCTTGGGATGCGAGATGCGTGCTGAAAGTAGACTATAGACCAAACACGATGGCCACTCAATACCTCTATTGCAAATCACAACACCCTAAAGAAAAGAGAGAATAAAAGGGAATGCCCTGCCACAGAGGCGGGGCGGGGGTGGGGGGTAGGGATGGGGGGGTGGGAGGTCTACTAGGATCACTGGTGGTGGAGAATGGGCACTGGTGGAGGAATGGGGTACTCGATCATTGTATAACTGAAACCCAAGCATGAAAGTTTGTAAGTCTACCACTGCACCTCATGGTGTTTCACTAATAAAAATATAAATAAATAAAAATAGTAGATTGTATGGGTAAAATAGTTAAGCAGTACAAAGATTATTGAAGTAAATATTACAATGTAAGAAATTTCACTTTTAATGCTCAGGCCTCTTTCTGAGGGACAGTCATATCATGAGGTGCTTCTATCTTTCCAGATACAGGCTGTCGAGATGCACAATACACACAAGAACTCCCTTTCTCACAGGCAAGCTCATAAAGGACAGGGAACTATTTGCACGCTGCTCTAAGTACAATCCTTAGAATGGAGCAAGGTGCTGATGTTAAATATTCACTACTGCAAGAATATTTTCTATCTTACTTTCCCATACCTGAAACAATTAAACCTATAATTAGCACTGCACTGTAGCACTGTCCTCCCGTTGTTCATCGATTTGCTTGCGCAGGCCCAGTAACGTCTCCATTGTGAGACTTGCTGTTACTGTGTTTGGCATATCAAACGAACACGTCACAGGTAGTTTGCCAGGCTTTGCCGGGCGGGCAAGATACTCTCATAACTTGCCGGGCTTTTCCGAGAGGGATGGAGGAATCAAACTCAGGTTGGCTGCGTGCAAGGCAAATGCCCTACCCGCTGTGCTATCTCTCCAGCCTAGTGGGAGCTCTAAGGACCAGATATCTGGAATAGCACTATGAGCAACATTGGGTGTGGTTCAGAAACGAAATAACAAGCTTTTCTGTGTCAGCAAATAGAGATCCACTGCATTCTCAACTGCTCCATCACATTATGCTTGCTGTCTGAATCCACCTGCACTATTTAACCAGTCCCTAACTGGCAGGCATGGATTCTTGTCTGTAACAAACAATGCCTACAATTAATGTTTTTAAATTATGTATCTGTGCACATTCTTGGAATTGGAACTACTAGATCAGGAACAATGCTTATTAAAATTTTGATAAAAAAATGCTAGAGATTTGCATTCCATAAGGCATACTATTGCTTATTCTATCTTTGCCAATTTCATGGGTAGAAGAGGAATCTCATTAAAGAATATTTTAATTAAACTGTTTTAATTTTACTTCTAATTATAAATAGAATTAATTCTCTTACAGATTTAAAGATCATTTGCATAATGGGCTGCTGAAGTTGCCCATTTCTACAGGCTGGCCATTTTTGGTTCTGGCTAATATCAGTCTTCATACATGCTGCTTGCATTTTCCACACTTATTTTTGCTTTACCCATTCTCAGATATCACTCTAGAGTTTTACAAATAGGCAAAGTGTTAAGAGAAGCAGTTCCTTTCCCCCACATTTTAGGCCTCTCTAGTAACAGCTTGTATGTCAGATGTTCTTTTAATAATGCTCCACTGCTATTTTCTCTAAAATTACAAGTTCCAGTTTCTAGAGTTTTAAGTATTTGGATTTGCACTGCTTACTGAGATATATGCTATAGATATAATAATAAAATAATGTATTCTAAAGGTAAAAACAACTAAGGTAAAGCTTACAGAATATACTCCATCATATGAATATCACCATTGTGTAGGAAAAAGAACTTTGGTAGATTCCAGCTATGCCTTATATTCTTTATTAAAATAGAGAATTGGATAGGATCAAACTAGATAAAGGTAAGTTGATTGCACCCTATAGTTCTGTAATAATTTTCTACATTTTTGAGCAAACTGAAAAAATTAATTTGGGGAAGATAGATATAAAAGAAAATTTACCATAGCAACCATTTTAAGAATCGAGTTCAGTAGTGATAAACGCATTTACATAGGGGCCAGCTTAAGGCACATAACCTTACATGTCATCAACCCTGGTTCAAGCCCGGGTACCGTATATGGTTCCCTGAGTATAGCCAGGAAGGATCCCTGAGCACAGAGCTAGGACTACGACCTGAGAACTGCTGAATGTACTTCCTCCCTCACAGAAACAACGACAACAAAATATACTTACATCAATCTCCAGAACCCTCTTTTGATTTTGTGAAATGGAAATTACACTCATGTTGAGTCATAACCCCATCCCTGGCTTTACTAGGCTCTGGGATCCAAGAGTCTTTTTCTGTCTCTGTGAATTTGATGAGCTCAGTGGAATCACACAAAGTTTCTTGTGATGGTTTATTTTACCTAGGATAATACATTCAAGATTCATCCCAGTAGCATGTATTAAAATTTCCTTCCCTTTAAAAGCTGAATCCTGGGGGTGGGGGGGGGGGGCGAGGGATACTGGGATCCATGGTGGTGGGAAATGGGCACTGGTGGAGGGATGGGTATTTGATCATTGTATAATTGAAACCCAAGCACAAAAATTTGTAAGTCTACAACTGAACCTCATGGTGTCTCACAAAAAATAAAATAAAGAGAATAAAAGCTGAATCCTATTCCACTGCATGAATATACAAATGTGCCTTGTTTTCTTTACTGATTCATTGCCAGTAGACACATTTTTTAGCTATTTGAGTGATGCTGTGAAATACAGGTATGGAAATATCTTGTTGCGACTCACTTTTAATTCTTTTTGGATATACATATGCATATATATATTTCACATATAGATGAACATATATTTTTGCTGTGATTTAAAGGTATTTCATCTCACATTACTCCTGGCTCTATGTTCAGGGGGAGTCACTCCTGACAGTGCTGTGGGATCATGTGGGGGCAGGATCAAACCAGGGTTGGCCATATGCAAGGTGTTATCCCCGTACTACCTCTCCAGCCATTCTATATTTATTTTTAATGAGAAATTAAAAAAAATAAGAGAAAATATAAGCACTTTACCATGGCCTTCCTTTCCATAGGCAAATGAAGGTGGTATAATCACTTTCCTCTTCTCTCCTGGGCACATATCCATCATAGCAACGTCGAGACCTTTAATGACTTGTCCAACCCCAAGAACAAACCATTTAGGGTGACCTTCATTTTGTGTCCGGCTATAGTAAAAATGACATTTGGGTCATCGGATTTCACAAAAAAAAAAAAAGCATGATCAAATTTAGAAAGCTGTGCTTATTTAAAACTGAAGTTCTCTTTAATCATGTCTTTTGCCATATGAACACTTACTCTGAACTGCAGGGTTGGGAACTTGGTTCTTAAAAGCCAGAAAGAGGTATGACATCACAAAGCTCAACATTTGGGTGTCATCACAATCTTTGGTTCATCTTTACAACCATTCAACAGTTAGCTTTTTATTTGGCCACATCCAGATGACATCTCAGGGGTTATCAGGGCCACAACCAATAGCAGTGCTCATGGGCATGTGGGGATCAAACCCAGGGTCACCACAAGCAATCTACCACTGGGATCTACAGTGTGCAACACATGAATCTTGGCCCTGTATTCACCCTCCTGTCCCAGTTGATTTTTGTTTTGGAGACACAACCGGCCATTCTCAGGGTTCACTCCTGGCTCTGTACTCAGGGATCACTCGAGTAGGCCCGAGGGACCCTATGGAGCGCTGGGGATCAAATCTGCATCTGTGATGTGCAATGTAAGGACTCTACCCACTGTACTATCTCTCTGACCCTCCAGTTTAATTTTTAATGAACTTCTGCACCACAACTAGCCCCACAACTTGTATAACTCATTCGATCTCTCCTCTCAACCAAAAGGATTTCACAAGTTTAGTTTTAGAAAATCATTTTAGCAACTGTTAAAGTGCTATTTTTTCTATGGAAACTATCCTATCTTCATAAAGTATGGCTTAGAAGTAGGAGACATTCCTCTCCTGGATCAGAAACCATCAATTAAATCAAAGCAGTGACAGGGTGGGGCTGGTGAGAACACAGGACCCAGAATTCCCGAGGGTATCTGTTGCCAGCAGCTTCAGAAAACAAAAATACCCATATTTATAAGTTTTACCAGGATCTTCGTGCCCAGGGCGCTTCCCCCATAGCTTTCGAGGTCCAGTTAATGTAGGGATTCATGGCATGACAGAATCCATCTCCTCTGTATGGAATAATGTGTTCTGCATCTCACAACCCCCAGATGCCCCCCAGGAACAAAAGGCTCAACTCTTACTCTTTAACAAAACATGTATCTCGTTGGTGGACAGAGTCTCACCGTCTGCCGGAGCAGTCCTCGACCTTTTCCTACCTGCAGTAGAATTTGGAGCCGTCTTCAGCCAAGTAGCCATCATAATGGGCATGTAGTAGGTCTCCCTTCTTGCTGGTCTTAGAACAGTTTTCTGGCCGATGCAAAACTTCTATCTTCACTTCTTCAGTGCTGCCTTGCCGAGCGGTCAAGACGTCCCACAGGCAGAAGAGAACTACAAACCCGAGTGAAAAGTGCATGATTCCGAAGCCGGCCCGGGAGGACCAGAGCACTCTCCACAGCTGGCTGCAGAGGAACTGGACGCGTGGCAGGCACGCAGGCATTGTCCTGCGTCACAAAGGGCGGGGCGGGGGCGGGGCCACAGCGACAGTGGGGGCGGGGCCGGGGCCCTGAGCTGCGGGAGGGGCAGTCCCGCGCTCGCGGAGGTCCCCCTGTCCCTGCGTGGTGCCGCTTCTCTTTGCCGAGTCCCGCATTTGCAACCACTTTCCTAGGGGGAGGGGTCGTGAGCCTGGAGTTTCCCAACAGAAACTCACCGAAGGCGCGGTTATGGGGGGCTAGGCATTCTGGAAGAAAAGCGTAGAAAGGAAGTGTGCGCGGGAGGTGGGGTGGGGTGGGGGGAACATTCTGAATACTTTCTGGAGGGGGGACTGTCTCGAGAAGCTTTCCCGGGGTCTGAGCCGTGCCTTTGCAGAAGTTTCGGGCAAAGCCGTGCACAACCCGGCGACCTTCCGCACGCGCGTCCCGGGCGGCTGCGGTTCCACTTCCCATCCTCGCGCACCGGCGATTCGCGCCCAGCAGCAATTGGTCGATAAGAGTTTCTGCCCCTTCCGCTCCCTGGCGCTCTTAAAAGAGTAACCGCTGGGAAACCTGCCTCCCCGCAGCAGCGTGGCTGGGCTCTGCGAAGTCGGGAATTAAGTCACATTACACAGGAAACATCCTTTGCTAACATCACGGATGGAACCAAACCTGCATCGCTCACATTGTGTTGCAAAAACTTTCAAGTGCACAGAAAAATAGGAGCGCTACGGTCCTATCCTCGCGGCCTTATTTAATTGCATCCTCCCGGAGGATGCTGTGACAAGTGAGATAGGCAACAGCCCCCTCTATCGAGCCATCAGTGCACTTTAACTGCCAGGTGAACAAATCTCCTCCCACCAAGATCTGGATTAGATGCAGGGGACCCAGAGCCGCAACCCTGGGCTTGCTTTGTCAGTTTCGCTGAAAGCTTGTACCAGTCCCCGCGTCCCGAACGTCACTGTAGGGTTCTGTAAGACGACGAGGCGCTGGCAGGGAGCTCCCATTTCTGGAACGGAACAAACCTCCCAAGTTTGATTCCGTTCTCTATGCCAGCAGAAACGGTTTGGCCACGGCCCGCGTAATGACAATCCCTGGGGGACAACCTCGGCGATCCCTGCCGCCAGCGCTTACAGTTTCCCTAGATAATTCCTCTGCACTCCAAAAAACGAGGCAGCTCGGAAGGAAACGTAAATAGGAAGCCTTTTCTTTCTCCCCCACCCCCCACCCATCGGGCCTTTCCGGTTCGGAGGGGGACGAGGGTGACCGCCGGCTGTACACCCCAGGGATCGCTCCTGGGCAGTGCTCCGGGGACCGTGTGGGAGGAAACGGGAATCGAACCCGGGCCGGCCGCCAGCAAGGGCAGGCGCCCAGCCCGCTGTGTGCTCTCTCTCTCTCCTTGGAAGGAGCCGCGACTCACGTTCTAAGAAAACCTGCGAGGCCTAAGCCCCGCACGCCGCCCGGGTCGCGGGGAGCTGGTTCTCGAGTCGGCCGGGCGCTGGGGCGTGCGGGGTTGGAGGGGGTTCGAGAGCGCCGGTTGGAGGCCGCAGGCTGCGCCCCAGGGCGCCGCGAGCAGGTGGGGAGGGGGGAAGCCGCGGGCCCGCGGCCGAGAGCCCGAGGGAGGAGGCTGCCCGGTGGGGTGGGGTGGGGTGGGGTGGGGGTGCGGGGTGCGGGGTGGGGGACGCCGGGGGAGGCTGGGCCCCCCCCACCCGCCCTCCGCGCTGCCTGCAGCCCTGCGGCGGGGGCAGCAGGCCGGGCCCGCGCGCCCGCCCGCCCGCTGCCGGGGAGGGGTTTCCCGGGCCGAGCCGGCCCCTTTCATCCAGGAAGTGAAAACGACGTCGGGGTCAATGAAAACAAACGGGGAGCCCGGGGGGAAGGAAGGCGGCAGCCGAGCTGGGAGCGCCGGGCCGCGGTGGGAGCGCGCGCGGGGGGCCCGGCTGCACTCGCGACCCGGCCGCGCGGCCCAGGCCCGCCCGGGGATGCCCGAGCCCGCGCCCGGCCGCCCGCGAGCTGCACGCGCCGGCCGCCGTCCCGGCCTCTAAAGGGCGGCGCAGTCCAGGCTGGAGACGCGCGCGCCGGCGGGCGGAGGGCGGCTCGGGGCGGGGTGCGGGTGGGGGGTGCCCGGGAGGGGCCGCTGAGGCCGCGCGCCCACCCATCACCGCGGTCCGCGCCCGGCCAGGAGGATGTGCGGCGCCGGGCTCTGAAGCATGGAGGGGGTTCTGTACAAGTGGACCAACTATCTCACGGGTAAGCGGGGGCCCCCGGCTGTTGCGGGAGAGGCGGCGGGCTGGGGGCCGGGACTTGGGGGGTGCCCGGTGCTGTCCACCCGCACGCGACCCGGCTCTCTGGCTCTGGGGCCGATCCCTCTCCCTCCTGGAACCCATCTGGCCTCTGCAGGGGATCGATGGTCAGCTGCGCACCTCGCCGAGGCTCGCGAGTGCACCTGGTCCGCTTCTTTGCACGCGCAGGAATGCTTGTGTTTCCTCCTGTCGTTTTCGGAAACAGCCCCTCGTCTCTCGACGAGATGTGGCAGTGACTCCTCCTTGATTCACGCTTAATTGTCTTTTGTTCCACAACTTGAGTTCTAGGGGAGTGAGGGGTGGAATGCCACCTTTATTTGCAAGATTGAATTTGCGGAACGCTTCTTCAGGATTTCTTTCTAAAAAAATTTCCGGAGCCGCATGATTCATTTTCAAAGTCTTCCAGGTGGAGGTAGCATGCTTTTTGGAAGGTCTCCCCAGAATAATTCTCCCCTAGGTGTTCGTGGTCAGTGAGGTAGCTCTGGCCTTCAGAAGTGTGTAAGGAGGAGTGGAAGGGCTGGAAGAAAGTAGTGCCAGCCATAGAAGGAAAGAAGGACCGTGAAAGGAAGGAAGGAAGGGAGGGAGGATGGGGGGGAGGGAGGGAGAGAAGGTAGGCAGTCTCAGTATATCCAGGGGAGGTAAGAAGAGAGGGAGGGGAATGAGAGATCAGCATCTAGGACCCTCTTCAGAATGTCTGCAACCTGGTGTATTCAAAGAGACAGATCTACAATATTCTCTGCTATCAACTCACAATAAAGGAGTAAAGACTGGCCTTTTATTCTCTCAAGACTTCAGTTTGATAAGACCAGGATGGTGAACTATTTTGTCTGGAAGGAGTCCTTCCAGTTACCAGAATTTTATCATCTCACCAAATTAGAGGGAAGGGAATGGATTTAAAATAAGATGAAATAGAACAAAAATAACACTTCACATGAAGTAAATGATGACCTTTTGGGGCCTGTTCCTGTCCCTACCATGCTGAAAATGTGAAGGATACTTTTGACCAATAAACAATTGGATTATGTATTTGAGATGCTTTTGGTCAATCTGAGTTTCTGTGAATTTCCATTAATATTCAGTCTTTCATGAAAGAATATTTCCTAAACTTTTTTTTTAAGTATATAAAGTTGGGGCCGGAGCAGTAGTATAGTGCGTGATGTGCTTGCCTTGCATGCAGTTGCCTGGGTTTGAGCCCCTGAATCCTGTAAGGTCCCCTCTCAGCACTGCCAGGAGGTACCCCTGGGCATCACTGTGTGTGGTCCAAAAACAAACAAAAAAACCCTCCCCAAAAAGCCCCAACAAAATAAATAGCAGGCATTTTCTGATCTGTTACTCTCTCTCTCTCTCTCTCTCTCTCTCTCTCTCTCTCTCTCTTTATTTTTGGTGCTATAAGTATCCGATCCCTTAGTAAGTATATGATACTCTCCACTTATGTCCATGCCGCCTGTGTCCACCCATCTTAATCGAAACCTGTAGGTAAACATTTTATAAGCACTTGAGCCACGGCTGCCTCTTTTATCCCATTATTTGGAATCATAGAGCCAAATTTATAGCAACAGTTGCCGTAAAGTTTTTTTGCTGTTGTTTTGTTTTAGGGCCACACCCAGTAGTGTGCAAGGGGTCACTCCTAGCACTGCTTTGGGACCATATATGTGCTGGAAATCAAATTGCATGCAAGTTAGCTGCATGCAAGGCAAGCCAGCACCTTACATACTGTCTTGCTGCCCTTCAATTAAGTTACTTGTTCGGATAATACATGTACACATTTGGTCTTTGGTTGTGGTTCTCACGTGAGGTCATACACTTGTTGGTGCTGCTTGCACAGCCCTGGTGCCAGTACTCTGGGATTTCCTGTTTTGTGGCTGTGATGCTGAGGGTCTCAAATCAGCACATGTAGGTGCATAGGGAATTTTGAGGCCTTATGGTTTCAAGGCAGGTGCTTTTTGAGCTATCTCCAGGCCCTGAATGATATATTTTAAAAACAAAACAAAATAGGAGGCATGAAAGAATGGAGCAACTGGTGTTTTGCAGTTTTGGTGTTTGGACCATCCCTGGTAGTGCTGGGATGTGGGGATAACACCTGACGGTGCTTGGTGCTCAGGACGTGGTGTTTGGGATTGAAGTCTGGGCCTCCGCTCACTGGCCTTGCTCTCTAGCACTTTGTGCTCTCTGGCTCTGGCTCTGGCAAATGTATGTCATTAAGCATTTTCATTTGGGCTACAGTGAGAACAGTTGAGCTCAGGCAGTCATTTCTCATTGTTGTGATGCAAGGGATCGCCTCATTGCAAACATTGATCAATTTAGTGTCTTGGGAGACTATTTAAAGGGACACATGCATAGCCCAGAGCAGTGGGCATGATTGAAATGAGTCATGATTTATTCCTGGAGTGCTGTGTGGTCTTGTGGTCTTTCTCCGATCCTGTGTCACAGACCTAGCTAGTTGAGCCTTGACCCACAAGTGGATGCTTAAGGTTTTCCTTTCGGCAGAGCTTTTCGGTTAACTGCTAGCATGCAGTGTGCAGGAGGCTTGCATCTTTTGTTTGAAAGTTTGTATTTTTAATTTAAAATCGACTGAATGCCTTGCTGATAGTGGTACATCCTAGGTCAGCAGGCCGAGCAGTTTATATTAAAAAACCTGGTTTGATGACTGTTTTTAAAATTTCCTTTGTTAGAGAATACGGATATACAGAATGTTTAGGTGTTTGAGATGAAAGAGCATTTTTAAGAGACTGTCAGAAATACGTATCTGTCAGTCTTTTTCACAGACATAGCCTGCATGTAAATGTGTGAATCAGTTGGAGATTAAGTATTTTTTCGAATGGTGTGTAGTTATAAGAATTAATCATAATCGTCTTTCAAGTTGCTACAAGTGCTAAATGAATCACTTTGGCAAATATTTAGGGATTTGGGGGCCATACTCGAGGGTGGGGGTGGGGGTGGGGGCATTGAACAAGGGATGTGACCAAAAGGGCCGCTTGTAAGACAAGTGCCTTTATCTTGAACTGTCTCTTTGGCCTGCCCAGGATTTATTTGGAAGAAAATTTGAATCTCACTAATACAGGTTTATAAAATTATAATTATTTTCTATAGGCATATAGGATTTAGGGCATTTAAATATATTGTAACACACCCTGCTTAACTGTGTTTGCTAAATGTAAATTAGTATTTGGAAAGATAATGTTTTTGTAATTCCTGTGCATACATAAAGTAATATACTTTTATGAACTATTGCTGTGTGATCATGGCTAACTTGCCCTCTCATTGTTCTGTTGTTTAATCATTCATTCATTCACTCTTTTTTAGATACTATGTTTTTATGTACCTGTTTTATGCCAGGTGCCATTCTGGGTGCTGGGAATGTCATGAAGAATGAAATAAAGTTGATGTATCAGGAGAACTTGCCTTCTGATTTGTGAAGAGGCCTCTTTGGAAATAATTTTCCATGTAGAGGTTTTCGCAAATCTTTGGCTCTTGTTTTAGTTATTTTGGACTTTCTGCAGTGTATTATGACATCCCCTGTTGTGACATTTTACCTATTTTTTAAGACTCAGCACTCTCATTTCAAAAGTGTTAACGGTAAAGCTCTTTGGGAAAAGTATCTCTTGGGCCAGTATTAGGGTATAAGACTATTTTATCTGTCTGCTACTATCTTGGCCCTGAGAGAGTTAATTTTATAGATATGAGAAATCTGATGTCACCAGTCTGAGGCTAGGTGTGTGGCTTACGTGGTAGGACATAAGCTTGGTGTGTATGAAGTTCTGGGTTCCCCAAGGTTATCCCAGGTTATCCAAACACAACAGTATCAACAACAACACATAAGTAAATAAAACTGGGACCAGGTTGCTTTAAAAGGGAAAAAACCCAAAAAAAACATTAACACTAAAGAATACAAATAAAGTGAGGAGGCTGAATTGTGATTTCATGTTCACAGGAAGAACAAGGCAGTCACATGCATGTCAGCAGCACAGTCAGCAGAAAAGATTTCAGGAATATGCTAAAAGGGCCACTCTGCTCTTCATCCCCTGATATGCCTTGGAGCTGTCCTTGATAGTTGTACACTTCAATCACTGAATAAATTCTAAGGAAGTTGGGTGCGGGGCAGGGGAGCAGGGAATCTGTGAGCTCACCACCAGTCTGCAGCTTCTGGCTGAGGCCCTGAACACCTTTAGTACTTCCTCACTGTGTGCAGGGAGCTGCATTTCAGAAGGGAGGGGAGGCCACCTTGTAGAATGAAGGCGCAGGGTGGCATCTGAGATTGGCATCTTGTACCACCCAGTCTCTTTGGAGGCCAAGATCTTTTGATATTTGCTGACATAAGAAACTTTGTTCCTGGCTATTCAGCAGAAGGATGATTCTAGAGCCAAGGCTAGAATACTAGGGGTAGTGTAGGTATCTCTGATTACACTACAGCCTTACTCTTGCCCCTTTTAGAAAAAGGACACAGTTACCCCCTGACTCTCGCTCTACTTAGGAGTGTTATGGTTTTCAATATAGATAGTGAGAGGCAATCATGTCTGGTCCTTTACTTTCAGCATACACAGAGGCAGGGGATGGGGGGGGATGGGGGAGAGGGAAACTTGGGGACGTTAATGGTGGAAAATGTACATGGTGGAGGGATGGGTGTTTGATCATTGTATGACTGAAACTCAATCATGAACGTTTTGTAACTGTAGCTCACTGTGATTCAATAAAAAAAGAAAAGTTTTAAATGTTAGTGAAAAATCTGATCATTTCAAAGGATTTTGTCGGAAAGTTTGAATCATAACAATGAAAGCAAGATCTACGGCTAGGAAGCTGGTTTCACATGCTGGGAAAAAAGTGCAGCTGGGATAGAGAAGGGACCATTAAGTAAATGATGGTTGGAGGGCTCGCTTGGGATGGGAGATGCAGGCTGAAAGTAGATTATGGACCAACATGTTGGCTGCTTAGTACCTGTATTGCAAACCACAATACTCAAAGGGAGAGAGTAAGAGGGACTGTGCCTGCCACAGAGGCAGATGGGTGGAAAGGGGTACAGGTGGTGGGAGGGATACTGGGAACATTGGTGGTAGAGAACGGTCACTATTAGTGGGATGGGTATTTGATCATTGTTTAAATGAATTGTCATCATGAAAGTTTGTAAGTCTGTAACAATATCTCAGGGTGATTCATTAAAAAAAAGAAAGCAAAATTAAATCATATTGAAAAATACTAATTACAAATATATTTTAAGTGTTTTCATTGGGAAATAATTATACCAACTAATAACGTGTTGAAGCATCACTAATAATAAAATTTAAATACTTAAATCTTGACAAAATTGAAAACTATCAAAGTATGATTTTGATAATATTATTTTGGTAATAAACTATTACAAAATATTAAGTAAATATTATAAAATAGGTATTGTTATAATAGCATATAATAAAAGGAATGTTTACTGCTCTCTCTCCGGCCCTAGTAAATGCTATTTTAAATTAATCTTGACAGTTGGAGGGATGGGTGTTCGATCATTTTATGACTGAAACTCAATCATGAAAACTTTGTAACTGTATCTCATGCTGATTCAATTAAAAATAAAGAAAGAAAAGAAAGAGGACACAATTATGTTGCACCCTGTATCCAACTATGGAGGATGGGTCTTAGGGGTTCTTACCCAGAAGGTTGGGGTCTGAATAAAGTAATTATTCCCCATATTTATGCTGGTCTAGAGATTGCTCTAGAAGTCTCTCCCAACAAAGTGGAGGTTGATGTGAGAACACTTTGGCCAGTGATTTGCTGTAAAACATTACAGACTTGTTTTTGAGCCAACGAACAATAGATGGCAAGCACTGAAATTGTAGTTTTCTAAGTGGGCAAAGTAATTTCCTTATTTATCTTTTGTTATTTATGATCTTTGTAGGTTGGCAGCCTCGTTGGTTTGTTTTAGATAATGGAATTCTGTCCTATTATGATTCACAAGATGATGTTTGCAAAGGGAGCAAAGGAAGTATTAAGATGGCAGTTTGTGAAATTAAAGGTAAGTGAATACATGAAATTAGAGGAATTTTAGGTGAGCAAAAGCTTTTTCAGCATACTTCGAGAAAAAATACAAGTATTCCAACCAAGTGGTAATCTTTTAATGTTTTTCGTATCCTTAGCAATCCAGAATGACACCATTGTCAAGCACAGTTTTTGCTATTTCTCCCATTTTAAATTGAAATTCAAAAATAATAGTACTTGTCTTCCAGTTTGGACTTGAAAATCAATTTTTTTTGCTTATATTGAGTCTACAATTGTTCTTACATTCTTATTATAGTAAAGTGTTGTAAAAATTGAGCTCTGAATATAACAAGAGTATTCTTGTATGATTCTGATAAAGTTTGAAGTCAGTAATAATTTGCTGAATCAAAGACACACTTTTTTGGTGTTAAGAGGTTGTTCCCTTTCCTTCTAAGCCAGGAGAAATAAATATAGAGCTCATTGTGTAATTTCCATGAAGGAAGGTTTTATGGACCATTGATTCATTCATGTGGGTGGTTGAGGTGCTCGGATTGGAAGGGAAGAGATCAGATAGAATGATAATGAAAGTATTGAATTCTTCAAAGAGAGTTAAAGGAAAATTAAAACACTAAGGGGCATACATTAATCCCCTATATGCCTTTCTCATTTCTTCTGTGGAGCTTGAATCCTGTCCTTCAGAAAGGGTAGGTAGTTTTTTCCATATGGTAAACTCGTGATCATAGCAGCAAAATATTCCAGACTCATCTTAAGGCTCAGCACACTTTCTTAATTAGATTAAACCAAATGTATTAAGTTGCATTTTTCAGGTTGGATTTACAACATCGTTGTGTGCTTTTGTGGTAGGTCTTTATTAAGATTGAACATGGATATGAGGATTTCTGCTTACTGCACTTCTGGTTCTCCCCCCCTCCCTCCCCCCCCCCACACACATACTTTTGTGTCCAATAGGGCTCTTTCAAAAAAATTTTATAGTGCTGGGTATCAAACCCAGGGCCTCATACATGCAAGGCAAGTGGTCTGCTATTGGTCACATTCCCATCCCTGTAGAGGAGATCCTCAATTTAGGGTTCATCCAGGGAGATTTTGTCAAAGACAGGTGATAATATAACATGTGAGTTTCAATAGAAAGGAGTGGTGGCTTGCGTGACATGAGCGTTTTGGTGAGCGAGAGCCATCTCCCCAGGCCAGATGACGGTGAGGGATGGACTGAGGACCAGGAAATCGTGAAACAGGTTCCCAGGCTGTTGGTAGTCAGTTTATTTCTCTCTCCTCCCCAGCGTAGACCATCTCTCCCCTTACAGCACAATTGTAGTTGTAGTTTTGGTTGTAGTCCCAGTCATCATAGTTCCATCATCCTAGTCTCCTCATAGACCTCAACGTTCTCTCTTTCATTATCTCCTTCTTCGTCTTGTCTTGTTATAGTCTCATAGTCCCCTCTTTCCCCTTACAGCATAGTTATATAGAAATCATGAAGGGTGGGGGTACACATTGTCATAACAACAAACAGAGGTAAAGCCCCTCCTTCAGGGGAAGTCCTGGGGGATTAACTCAAGGAAGAAATCTCATCTATGGGTTCAGCACTCCAGATTACAGATCCGCTCAAGGGCGGTATTCCATCCAGGGTGTGTTGCTTTCTCTTTTCCTCAGCCAGTAGTCCATTTAAACAATTATAGTAAATTTACTTCTTATAATATTTCTAGTCATTTTGTATGAACACAGTAAGAGATATATTAAGCTTAAAGGTTGTCTCTTGCTGGGGACATCTTGCTATGTGTTCCAGACCACAGTCCTGAGGCCAGTTAGTCTTTCCTAACTCCAGTAGGGTCCTCCTTATTCAGTTACTTCTTTTTGGGTCATGACAGAGTTTGTACCATGACCGTACTCTTAATTACTATGCTTATGTTGCTTAGCTTGTCCCCTTTCAATGCCAGGGTAGCTTACCTCTTGCTCTGGGTCCATCCAGTCCCTTCGTTGGGACCCTCCTTTCTGGTAATGATAGGAAGTAAGGGCAACTGAGGGTTAAGTCAGGTAAATATGATGGATGCCCAGGAGTAAATATTATTTTGGAGTCAATTAACTCCCATGTCACGAAAGCTTTCTGTGTCTATTCAAAAAGGACATTGCTGAATAAACCATACAAATGACATAAAGGAAAGAGAAGAGCAATATAGGATTATTAGTGCCTGATGGAATTGGGTATGCCTCAGGGGCACTGTTGTGGGAGTAACTCAATAAACCTAAGCTTCCTATGGGAGGAGCAAGGACAACCCAATGTTATTCAACAATAACATGCTCCCTTTACTGCAGTGCTAGTGGATGGAAGTCATGGCACTGCATCATACAGAAACGTCTCGGCTTGATGCATCATTACTTACATGTTTCTTCAAATATGTGGGATATTGCTTTGTTGTTTAATTCATCAGTTCTTTTATTTTGGAGTCATACCTTGCTGTGCTTAAAGCATGTGCTCCAGTCCCATTGAGCCATTTCCCTGCCCTATGTATTTATCTTAATTGGGATCACACTTGGCAGAGCCAAGAATGGACCCTGATTACCTCTGCGTGTAGTCTTATATCCTTCCACCTATTTCCCTCACCCCATTCCCTCAAAAAATGTAATATACATTTACATCATGAGTGGTGGTGCCAAGGATCAAACTCTCAGCCTCATGTCACAAGGTATGTACTCTAGCATGGAACCACATGCATGGGCCTGAGATGTTTTTCTCTGGGGGTGTGGGAGGGGACTTTTGGGCCACATGTAGAGGTGCTAAGGCATTACTCCTGTCTCTGTTCTCAGAGATCACTCCTGGAGGGGCTTTGGAGACCATATGTGACACCAGAATCAAACCTCATGCAAGGAAAGTCCCTTAACTCTTTTACTCACTTTCCTGATTAATTTTGAACATTTTATAAATGGAAGAATTCAGTATTGGCTTCTGGCTTCTTTCACTCATTCTGTTTGTGAAACTCATCCTTGTTTTTCTGTGTAGTAGTAGTAGTAGTAGTATCCCTCCCGTTGATCGTCGATTTGCTCGAGCGGGCCCAGTAACGTCTCCATTGGAGACTTTTGTTGTTACTGTGTCTGGCATATCGAATACTCTCGGTAGCTTGCCGGGCTCTCCGAGAGGGGCAGAGGAATCGAACTCGGGTCGGCCATGTTGGCTGCGTGCAAGGCAGACGCCCTACCCGCTGTGTGTAAAGATAGTTATTCAGTCATTCTGATGTTTAGTTATTTCCATTGTGTGAATATGCAACAATTGGGTTCTCCAGTCTTGTAATGGATTTTCTTTTTTTCATTTGGAACAATATTATGTAAAGATGCTTTGTTGAAGTATACACACACACACACACACACACAAACACATATGTGTATATATTCTTTACTGTTTATTATGTTTCTAGGAATGAAATTGCTGAGGCTTGTATATCACAATTCAACTTTAGTAGAGAAAAATTATTCTTCACAATTGTTTACAGTAAAGCGTGATCCCAAACTTGCAGATTACCAAAAAATGGGTTCTGATTTTAAAAGAGTCAGTAACAAATGTGGTAAGAGTGACAGTGTGTGTGTGTACTGTAAACGGTAAAGGCGGCCCCAAGGGAGGGAGTTTTGCCCCTGCACCGCTTTCCAGTGCTTTCCAGTATGTAGTTCATCGCTGTTTTCTCTTTCAGTTGTCTCCACCACTCTGGCACCACTGCCAGTGTGGGTGTGTGAGGACAAGTAGCTTTTGCAGGTGTCACCACATGGTCGTCCAGGGAAGGGCACTGACTATTACCTTGCATCATAGTTTGTTGTTTTAGCGTCTGAAACATCTGCGAATCTGTAAGAGTGATGATTTAATTCTCCCAAATTACTTAAGTGCGTCTGTGTTCATCCTCACAGTTCACTCAGCAGACAACACGAGAATGGAGCTGATCATTCCAGGAGAGCAACATTTCTACGTGAAAGCAGTGAACGCAGCTGAAAGACAAAGGTGGCTGGTTGCTCTGGGAAGTTCCAAAGCCTGTTTGACTGATACTCGGACTAAAAAGGAAAAAGGTAAGTATTTAAATTTCCCCTTTGTGATGATGATATTTTCTTAAACGTAAGTATGAATCGTCCTTACCATTTCATAATCTAAAGAAATCATCAGAATGCTGTGGATCTGGCTTAGTGGTAGGAACGATAGGAAAGAATTGGTAATGTTACTGCCTTTGGAAAGGGAATTTTTTGAGTTATTCATTTTTTTGTTATATTTACTTATTGAATCACTGTGGGAAAAGTTACAAAGCTTTCAGGTTTAAGTCTCGGTCATACAATGATCAAACACCCTTTCCTTCACCAGTACTTATTTTTCATCACCAAGAACCCCAATATACCCCCCTCCCACCCCTCCCAATGTTTGTGAGGCAGATGATTTCTACTTAACTCTCTACTTGATTACATTCATTATTTTGACAAAAGATGCACCATTATTGTTTAGAATTTCCCCCCAACAATCAGAACTGCTGAAAAGGCATTGTGAAATAATTTGTTTTCTATAGCTGGTTATGAGAATCATAGGATGTCTGATATTTGAACCATATGATTTTGGATTTCTGATATTTTACTAATTAAGTCTGGAGGGATTTCTGCCAAGAGCCAGATAATTACAAGATTGGTTTTTGTGTGTCTGGTGCTATGGCCATGCTGGAGAGCCGCTCGTGGGGGGCAACTTGTGACTTCAGTAGGGCGTGAAGGATGAGCCGGTACTGCCCCCCATTCCATTGAGGCTGCAGTTGCCCCATCACCACCGGCTCATACCTGGCTTTCCAATAAGCTCTGAGGCAGCAGCCACCTTGCTGGGGGAGGGGGGGACAGAGGCAGAAGGGAGAGACACCCTTTTCCTCCCAGGGAGGCATGGTACCATAGTTCAATGCAAAGTCCATTCACTTTTCTGCCACAAGCTTTTGGGCTCTGGATTAAGTCCTTGGCCTCTGGAGCCATGGCCTTGCCGGAGAGCCGCTCGTGGGGGGCAACTCGTGACCTTGGTAGGGCGTGAAGGATGAGAATTTTTTTTTTTATTGTATGCCTTTTGGTGTCTTTTGAGTTCCAATTAAAAAAAAATAATAAAGATAAAAGCAAAACAAATCATTTGGGATTCAATTATATATAGCTATAATATGAAAGTAGTTACATTTATATTTTAATAGTTTGCAATTATGATTGTTATTCTTTGTATTTTATGACTTTCACAAGTCTTTCATTGAGTACGCATTACTTTATAATTAGGAAAGGGTAGACTTTTTTTTTAAATTAGTGAAGTTGGCTAAGTTGCAGGTATTAAAAGGCAAAGAGTGAGGATTAAATTCATAGTAGTTTCATAAGCGGAGTTTGGTTCAGGGAGGAGATGGACTGGATGGGAAGAGGGGTGGTTGAGTGAAACTGGTAAAGGGCTCACATATGTGAAGAATAGAAATGTGACTTTTGGTGAAGATCATAGTAAGGGCATCCAGGAATTGAATTACAGAACTGTTCACTTAAAACTTATATTGTTTTAAGTTCAGTGTTCCCTCCATAAAATCTATTTAAAGAAAGAGAAGGAATAGCTATTCACAATTACCAAAAGATTATTACTAACCCAAATTTGGTGAGACAGATGAATTGGTAAACAAAATGCAGTGTTTGCATGCCATAGAATATTATTCAGCCTTGACATCCTAGGGAATTCAACACAAGGGCATTGGTGGAAATTTCATACCCTAAAGAAGAACATGGGCCACCCCAGTAGAAATAAAAGGAAAAGAAATTATTTACCTGGGTTGGAATGCGAGTATCTCCTGAATAGTTGTGCCCAATCTATCTAAACTTAACAACCTATGACTGATAGTCTTTCCCTAATTATCTGAAAAGAAGTGGTTTCTTTCTATTCTGTTTACAAGGTCTCATTCTTAAGTCATAGCTTTACTTATAAAATGATAGAATTTATTAATTTTTCGAAACATATAAAAACAGTTTGACGAAGTGTTTATGTTCCTTTTAGAAATCAGCGAAACCAGCGAATCTCTGAAAACCAAAATGTCTGAACTTCGCCTCTACTGTGACCTCCTCATGCAGCAAGTTCACACAATCCAAGAATTCGTTCACCACGACGAGACTCATTCCTCTCCCAGCATAGAGGTATAACAGAATGATCCCTCTCAGAGTTATGCTTTTCAGGACATAGTGTGGTGTGGGTGTGCTTGTATGTATGTGTGGGGGTGGGTAGGTGGGGGGAGGCACTTTCAGAATGAGTTACTTTCAGCTATTTTCGGTTCTCCCTACTGAGCACTACCCCTAGAACTGTAGGATATTCTAGAATTTATTTATGCTGCCAAAGCAAAGCAAAAAGCAGCATATTCTTTTAGAGGTTCACAGTCTTTGCAGTCCAGCTGATCATTTGGAGGTTTGGTTGCAGAAGAAACTTTTCAGATTCTGTTCTCCTGACTGACTAAATGAATTAATTGGCCATGCTTTTTTTTTTTTTTGGCATTTTTGGATCACACCTAATGATGCTCAGGGTTTACTCCTGACTCTGTACTCAGAAATTACTCATGGCAGTGATCAGGGGACCCTGGGGATACTGGGGATTGAACCTGGGTTGGTGTGTGCAAGCCAAATGTGCTACCTGCTATACTATCATTCTGGACCCTGCTATTCTTTTTATTTTGATAGTTGTCGTCCTTCTATATCTGGTGAGAATTGATAAACTGGCTTTATGAAAATGACTTCAAAATGAAGATCCCTTTCAGGACAGTGATGGAAGAATCAAACTTTGAATGTATATGATCTGACTATGAAATTCATGAGTTCTCAGGAATTCATTCTGATAAAGGCTTACTCATTCTGATAAAACAAAACAAAACAAAACAAAACCATTGGTTCTTACTGCTCTTTGGCTTGAGGGCCAAATTAGCTCCCAGTTTCCTTTTGCCTAATTTGGGAGAAGTGGGATAAGAAATCTTATCTCTCCTGAGGCCTCGGGTTGGGGAGGAATATTGTGTGAGATGGCTGTAGATACATTCAACTCTAAGGGGACTTAGGTCTCTTCCTTACAAGCACTCTGTAACTCCATGTCCCCAAATATGTTCCAGCAGCGCTGTGATGGTCCTAGAGATACAGACTGGGCCCAGGCTTCCACTCTGCCATGCTTGGTGTGTTGGGTTTTAATCCTCAGACCACAGCTTTTTTCAGGGCTATTTCCAAGAAGATTCAGAGGCAGGAGGCAGTGGGGTAGCCAGTGGGAAAGAATCCTTTTTAATTTGTTGTGCTAATCTTTGATTACAGGATAGAAAATCCGAGAAAGTCTAATGATCTTTTTTTGGGTTGTTGTTCGGAGCCAGAGGGAAAACGAGTATTAGACAAAGAGTCATGGGACAACGGGGCTTAGCAACAGCCCTGAGTTAAGTCAGGGCTGACTTAAACCAATCTGGATTCATCACCTGGGGTCAGAGCACTTTGTTGTCTTTAAAAAGTTGTGCAGGGTCAGGGGTAGGGGTTAGGCTTTACTTTCTTAAGGAGGGAGTAGGATGTCGGATCTAGGACAGACGAGGATTGTAGACAGTTTAAATAATACTTAAGGTCTTCCACTGCTGTGGCTGCATCAGAGTTCTGAGAGTTCAGGTTTGTGGAAGATCATTTTTATTTAATAGCAAAACTATTTTCATGGAATCTAATAATCTCATAAGTAGTTTGCCCCACGATGCCTATTTCTTTTTCTTTTTTAAATGTATTTATTGAATCACCGTAGCAGCTACAAAGCTTTCAGGTTTAAGTCTCAGTCATACAATGATCAGATACCCATCCCTTCACCAGTGCATATTTTCCACCACCAGGAACCCTAATATACCCCCGTCCCACCCCTCCCCCTGCCTGTGAGGCAGATGATTTACACTTAACTCTCTCTCTACTTTGATTGCATTCATTATTTCGACAAAAGATGCACCATTATTATTTGGAATTCCCCCCCCCCCCCAACAATCAGACCTGCTTAAAAGGCATCGTGAAAAAATTTGATTTCTATTGCTGGTTATGAAGAGCATATGATTTTGGATTTCTGATATTTTACTAATTCAGTCTGCAGGGATTTCTGCCAAAAGCCTCATAGTTCCGAGATTGTTTCGTGTGCTTCTGGGGCCATGGCTGTGTCAGAGAGCTGCTTGTGGTGGGGGAGGGGGCAGCAACTCGTGGTCTTGGCAGGGCGGGAAGGACATACCAGTCACCCCCATCCCATGAGGCCATAGTTGCCCTGTCAATGCCAGCTCATACCTGACTGTCCAATAGGCTCTGAGGTGGCGGCCACTATGCTGCAAGGGGAGTGGGAGTCGGAAGAGGCACACCCTTTCCCTCCCCGGGGTGTACGGCGCCATGGCTTAATGCATGTGCGAATACATTTCTGCCAAAAGCTGCTGGGTTCCGAATTAGGTCCGTGTACCTCTGGGGCCATGGCTGTGCTGGAGAGCCGCTTGTGGGAGGCAACTCATGGTCTCGGCGGGGTGGGAAGGACGTGCTCATTCATGATGGCTATTTCTTATTCATGAATTGCCTTCGTTCTCCAAGGTTCTGTCTTTTAAAGAAGTTGGAAAATGTTCCTGTAAAGGCATCTGTTGGAGATGTTTTCTTAGTTGATTATAAGGTGGTGCCTGGTTCCATGTAGCTGTACATAAGTCTGTTTCATTGTTTGTTTGTGATTTTTCAGAGCATGAACGAAGCCTCTTCTCTACTTAGTGCCACGTGTAACACATTCATCACAACACTGGAAGAGTGTGTGAAGATTGCCAATGCCAAGTTTAACCCTGAGATGTTCCAGCTTGCACATCCGGATCCCTTAGTCTCTCCTGTGTCACCGTCTCCTGTCCAGATGGTTGGAGCTTCTTGATTTTCCTCCAGTGATATTGCATGAGATTGTTTATTTATTTTCATTCCTGAAGGTGGAAATTAGCAGTGGGAGAAATAGTAGACAGTGTTTGCATTCATATTCTGTCCAAAAGTCTCTCAGAGTGAGAGAGAGAGAATGAATATGAATATGAATATGAATATGTATGTGTGGTGCTTGGGATCAAACCATGCTCTCACACCTTACATATGCAAAGTGAATATACCACTGCTGAGCTTTTTTTCCTGCCCCAGTGCCAGGGGTACTTTACAATATTCTGTATATGCTGTGGCACTAAAAAGGCTGGCAGCACTGTTCAACTTATAAACACTTCTCAGTGGGGTACTATTTTACCCACAATTGGGTACAATTAAGCAAATCTTTGGATTAGAGGGATCGAAACAACATGTCAATGTTACAATGAGCAGTATTTGACAGTATTTGGATTTGAACTCAATCTCTCTGGCCTCAGCTTAGAAGTGCTGCTTTCGTTGTAGCAGAGGGTCTGAGCTGTTTGATGTTAGGAGCTCAGTGCTGAGTTTCTTACCTTCTGATTACTCTGGACATCAAGTCCTCTCTTGGTTAGGGATGGCCAATTTGTTGCCCTTTCCAAGCTAATAGATGTGCTCCAGTGAGCTGAGTGGAACTTGTGGGTGAGGTAGGATTTGATAAAACAGCATTGGGTTCTTTTTGTTGTTGTTGTTGTTTTCCATTTAAGTTTTTTTTTAAAGAGGAGGGTCACATGGCTGCTTTTTTTTTTTTTTTAGCAATTACCCGAGACTATTGGAAAAAAATAGGATTGAACGCATTCTCTTGCTACGTTGGCAAATATAACCAGATGACATTTTGTAAAGATCACTGCTGACACTTTTTTTTTTAGATCCTTGTGTTAAAATATGGCAGACTAGTAGAGTATGAAAACAACAGGTTTGCATTCAGATGAGATGGGAGTTGCCAGGTTAAATGGAACAGACAGACTTTCTCGGTCACTAGACTTTCTGGAGCCTCTTTAATGTTGAAGCATATTATGAGTCTGAAAAGGAGTGGAATGTGCGGTGTTTCTGATAGTCATCTGACAGTTTGAACTCTGTTATTGAATAACTTTTTGGAAGTCTCTGGTGTTCAGTAGAACACAATCAGACAGTGCTGCTTTTTAGAACTGTGGTTGATGGTTGATGTAACAGTTGAACAACAAACATGGATGATGACAAAATGGTTGTCCCTTGATATACAAGAGGTGTACCTTACTTTGTTTGCTTTTTTGTATTTTCAGCCCTATTTTTTTTTCCTCTGGTCTTTTTGGGTCACATCTGGCACTGCTCAGGGGTTATTCCTGGCTCTGCACTCAGGAATTACTCCTGGCGGTGCTTGGGGAACCTTGTGGGATGCCAGCAATCAAACCTGGGTGGGCTGTATGCAAGGATATCGCTCTGCCCCCTCCCCCCTATATTTTTTTTAAAGTATATTGTACTTAATAGAGTCAGATACAATTAAAATACCTCCAAGCAGACTAGCGAGATAGTACAGAGATTGAGGTACTTACCCCACGGATGGCTGACCCACAGTTCACAGTTGGATCCCAGGCACTACATAGATCCCTCAAAGCCCACCAGGAGTGATCTCCTGAGCCCAGAGCACAGCCAGATGTATTCCCAGCCCCCCTTCCCAAAATCAACAACAAGCAGGCACCTCAAACTGCCTCCTTTTTTTTTTTTTGCATTGAACTTCTGAGGAAAATGCCTTCTATTATGAAATCTCTGTGGTCCAGAAGGTCATAGTTTATATTTCACGTAAATGAAACTGCAGTAGCTCTTTTTTGTTTGTTTGTATGACACACTTGGCTGTCCTTAGGGCTTTGTGCTTTAGTACCAGGGATGGAACCTGGGGTGGGCAAACTCTTACCTCCTGTCCTACCTGGGTGTGGAAACATTACGAGAAGGCATATAAATCAGTACCTATATTAAAAAAGAGTCTACTTTGTTTTTCTCACTATGCCATTTTACTTTCTACCTAATGCAGAGATTTGGACTATGGTGATTAATTGTTTTTATTTTTCTTCTGTTTACAAACCCTTATGTCAGTGCTGACCTTTCGTAGATCCTCAGCAAGGGAGTTGCTTGGCTGCCTGCAAAACCCTGACACAGAAGCTGATTTTGTGCAAATAGTTTAGCACCAGGTTCCCCACCAGTGAGCTTCCCTCACCCCATTTCTGAGAAGAGTAGCTAGCTCTCCACCCTGGATCACCCGTTGCGACTGGCGCTTTTCAGGGTGGGACGGCAGGACTCCGGGCTCCTTTGGTGTCTGCCTTAGAGTTTTTCCGTCATAATCCTGCAGAGCAGGCTGCTTGGCTGAGCACATGCACTAAGAAAAATTTTTTTTCATTGTTCTTAGTAACATGAGTACATGAAAATGGACAAAGATTTGTGAATTCCCAAACTACTTCAATCTTCATTACTACTTACGTATTGAATCTCATTGTGCCCTTGGAGTAGGATTCAGTTTTGTTTCATACCATCAGGGAAATTCAGAGTTGCCATTTTTATCTGATAGGCTGAATGGTAATAGTTGTGGGAAGGTGCTTGGGAGAGTTGTTCTAGTGGTTTCTTTCAAAGGAGATATATCTGTCTAGTTGTCTTTCAATGGCAGTCTTATTCGCTTTTGTGACTGTAAATTAGATAGGTTGTTATCATTTCAACTGGTATGCCTCAGAGCAACTGATGCTGGGACAGACTTATAAATGTAAGAGGCATTAAGATGACATGAATGTTCTGTTATGACTCTTAAGTTCCTGTATATGAAAGCAGTCAGCCTGGAGTGCGGAGGTAATTCAAATGGGCAGATATGCATGCAGAAAGCCTGGGTTCACTTCAGTAATGAACGGTACCCAGAGCTGCTGGCAAGCTGGGAGTAGCCCTTAAGTGCTTCAGGGTGTGGCCCCAAAACCAAGGGGGAAAAAAGTTATCTCCCTTCTGCCTTTAGCATAGACTTTATTTTTTGCTATCTTTTTCAACATTGAAGCAATCAGCTTTGGAACAGAGTCCTCCAGTTTTTCTTTTCTTTTTTTTTATTCAGAATGTTAATTTTATTATTTTATGATTATTTCCCCCTCTCCTTTTTATTGATTTACCTTCAGACAAAGTTACAAAGCTTTCATGTTTGAGCTTTGGTCATACAATCATCAAACACCCATCCCTTCACCAGCGTACACTTTCCACCACCAAAATTCCCAGGATTTCCCCCACCCTCTCATCTTTCCCCTGCGTATGTGGCAGATAATTTCCCCCATACTCTCTCTCTACTTTGACACCAGTCCCATCACCACTCAAACCTGCCGAAAAGGAAAAATGCTAGACAATTTGTTTTGTATTGCTTGTTCTGAATAGAATATAATGTCCAGGAAATTCTTTATCATTCTCTTCCGGGAGCTTTAGTTTATAGTCTCTGGGTCTTGGCCATTGATGAGATTACACGGCGCTGGGGGCAGTTTGTGGGTGTGACTGCCAATCTATTAGAGAACTGGGGACCTAGGGGAAGGAGACCCAGTCCCAATCCAAGCAGGCTTGGAGGTCTCAGTCACGGTGTCAGTCACTCTTCCGGGAGCTTTAGTTTATAGTGTCTGGGTCTTGGCTGTTGATGAGATTACGTGGTGCCTGAGTCCTCTGATTTTTCTGATGCAATCGGTAGATCTTTTAAATTGTTTAATGCTTTGCTTAGTCATTTATCTTTAAAATTTTTCAGTGTATGTTATATGAACTTTTTTGAGGCTGATAGTTCTGAGTACTTTAAAGACTTGAATAATCAATGCCGACTTCCGTGTAAAACTCACTTTAGAACCTTTGTGTAACAGCTGCCTCTGAGCTCAAGAGAAGTTTGTTGACAGCCTATTCCTTTTATAATAAAAGAAAAGAAAAACCTTTTTTAAAAAGCCCTTTAAAAAACAAACAGGGGGCAGGAGATATGGCTCAAGGGCCTAGTGTCCTGCATTTGTGAGGTCCTAGGTTTTGCATGCTCTGGTACTGCAAAAGAAAAAAAAAAAGAAAAGAAAAAAGAAAAGAAGGGGGGAAAATGATTTATTAGAGTATTTTCTGGTATGCTCACATATTCCTTTAAGTGCTGATTTTTTTTTATCATTATAAAAATGCTATTTCACATTTTGATATATTGTTGATATATATATCTCTAGTTGTATGTTGTATATATTTATGCATAAAGTTTTTTAGTGTTGAGGAAAACCCCCACCATATTTGAATATGTGTTGAGAGATATACTGATGACTGTTATTAGGAAGAGAGCTTTACTCGATGCTACCTGAAAAAAAAAAAACTAAAATTTTTGGTCAGTTATCTTTTCCTCTGAGTAAATATGTCTTAATTATAATAAATAGAACTCAATTTTTCTTACTGACATATGCATTATGCTTATTTTTTTCTGAATTTCTAGATGAAGCGTTCTGTCAGCCACCCTGGCTCTTGCAGTTCTGAGAGGTAAAAGAGCTTTTTTTTTTTCTTGTCCAAGTTCCTTCAAAATTCTCTCTACCTGGGGAAGTTCTCTGAGCCTCTAATGTAGTGTGGCATGTCCGCTGCAGTCAGCTCTGATCGGCTCTGCCTTCTCTCTTCGTGCTGAGCCTGGCCCTCGTAAGTAGTTAGTGAAGAAAAAAGTTAATAAACTATCAGCAAGGCAAGCACATTGCTAGTTATATTTCACATTGATTGAGTTTTGGGTTAGGACCACACCCAGTAGTGCCCAGGGACTCCTCCTGTCATGCTTGGGGGACCGTGTGGTGCTGAGGGTTGATCCCACGCTCCTAAATGCTCCAGCCCATTGAGGTATGGCCCCACCTTCATGAGCTCTTTGGAGTTATACCAACTGATGGCTAATAGGATCCCATTTTTTTAGTGGGGATGACCTCTCAGGCTGTGCTTAGGATTTCTTCCTAGTGATTCTCAGCCAGTGGGCCAGTGGTTCAGGGTAAGAGCACGGAGCTAGGGTTCTGCCTGGGCCCTTGTGCTGGGAGTAACCCATGCTATCCCAGTGGTGTGTTAGCATGGGTTCCAGAGCTTTCAGGGCACTTCCAGGACTGTACCCCGTGAATCTTGGGGAACCATTTGGTGGTCTGGCTTTGCAATTCAGGTTAGCTGGGCTGTGTTTTTTCCAGCCTGGTAACCTTGTTGGGGTGCGCATTGCAGGTGAGGGGTGTGGTGTGGAGAGCACCGAGCACCATGGGTGTGCAGGGAATGTGTGACAGTGAGAGGGAAGTGATGGTGGCAGAAAGTACACACATTTCCAGATGTGCCTGTTTCCAAGGGGCCTTTCACAAACTAACTGGGGCAGATAAATGGGGGTTCTCGCATTAGAACGAAATCACGCTACTTCATGAGTCACACCTCGGGGCCCCTAGACTGATTTTTTTTATTTATTTGGAGGGAGGCACACCAGGCAGTGTTTAGGACTTATTCCTGGCAGGATTTGGGGGAAGCTGTTAGTGCCATGGATTGAACCCAGGTAAGCCACATGCAAGTCAAGCGACCTACCACTGTACTAGTTTTCTAGATCACATACACTGATATTTTTTGGGGGGCGGGGAGGCGGTGAGGGCTCCCAGGCAGTGCTCTGGGGGCCTATGGCCATTTCTGGTGATCTTCGCCCACCTTTGTGGGCAGAATAGTTCACTACTGCTGCCAGAATTGTGATGGTACGTGGTGGGGGCCAGGTGGTGCAGGAAGTTTAGGTTTCCTGAACTGAACTTGGGGTCTTTTGTATGCAAAACATGTACTCTAGGCCTTCGAACACTCTTCCTAGCCCCCAACCTAATTTTTCAAAATAGTTTTCCTAGGGACCAGAGCAGTTAGTACAGTAGTTAGGGTGCTTGCCTTGCAAGGCCCCAACCTGCATTGGATCCCTGGCACCCCCAGTAGTCCTTTGACCTGCTAGGAATGATCCCTGAGCATTGCTGGGTATGATCCCAAAACAACAACAGTTTTTGAAGTTTTCTTTTTGCTACCTGTATGTGCTCTTGTTCCGTCAGTGAGTTGCCATCCGCTCCCAGAGGCCTTGCCCATCCTCTTTGATGCAGCTTCTGATAGATGCGGATTGACACCAGTCTGATAGATACAGGCACAGGTTTGAGATCCCAGTTTTCCAGCATTTGTTATTCATCTGATGTGTGCACTGGCTACTGAACCCTTCTCTATAAATTTGCATTTAGCCCTGTTAAGGCAACATAATCTCAGGGTTATCTAAAGAGTCTGAAAGATGTGACTTGCAGCCCGACCTCTGAAAGAGTAGAATGTTGTTCAAGTAGTAGATCAGATGACATATAGTTCCCCGAGAAGCACGATTAGGTGGAGGGTGCTTTCATTTGTTGAGGAAAATAAATGGAAAGCTTTTCATTTAATTTGCAGGACTAGTCACTCTGCAAAAGAACCAATGTCTACACTCCATCGACTTGCACAGCGTCGCCGCAGAACCTACTCAGATACAGACACTTGTAATGATATTCCTCTTGAAGATCCAGAGAGTAAGTTAGGTCCATTCTCTATTTCTATTCTGTGTTTCTGTCTCTTTGGGGAGGGGGTGGCCCAGGGGTGCTATTTAGCCAAATTGTGGTGTGGCTCTGTAATCACTAGAATAAAGGGTATTGACATTGAACGCTGCATTTTCTGCTTAGATTGATTCCTTAACTTAATCTGAGCTGGGCCAAGAGTACACAGTTACCAGAAGCTCATATGTCCTCTTTTCAGACACCTAAGAAATGCTGAGTATCTCTTTGCAAATATCAAATTCTGGATTCCTATAATTACATGCAAAATTGACTAACTACTTGCGCTCTACCTTTTAGTAATCCTTAGTAATCTATTACTCCCACTACACTTGCATTTTAAAAGCATTTTAGGTGAAATCATTAATTATAGGTAGAATTTTAGGGGAAAATAAAGGTGAGTTTTAAATTCAAAGAAAAATAGTATTAAATAATTCAGAATGACTAGGGAAAATAAAATTTTTTTGACAGTGAAGGTGAATTATAGTACAGTTTATTTCTGTTCTTTTTTTCTTTATTATTTAGAGCTCTTTTATCCTTATTATTACTTATGCTACGACTGGGTACTTTAGGAACATTTTGGTGATTTGTGTTTTAGCTTAATTTTTCTCTTTAGAGGACAATCTTTAAACATGTGTCAGAATATTTAGACTGTAGGGACCATAATTTCCAGGGTCTTCTTCTATCTAATTCAACAACCCAGATTTCAAGAGCTTATACATCATTTGTTGGAACACAGATTTTTACTTCCCTTATGGATATGGCATGGTAATTGCTAAAGAGTCTTCTGATTGCTCAGGCCTTGCTCCTAGTGGTTGTGTGCTAGGTGCTGTGCGGTGTTTGGGACGTAATCCCGGGGCTCCTTCATGCAGTACATTTGCTCCAGCCATTGAGCTCACTCACTTACTCTCCCTCTTGTCCAGTGCCATTAGATTTTTAGTATTTGGATGTGTTTAAAACACTGATTAAGAAATAGTTGTTTTACTTGGCCAGAAAATTAAGTAGATTGAATTAGAGGAAAATGTAGAATTCATGCAGATGATGGACTTGCAGGCCATTTTTAGAAGTTGTTGACACAAATTTTATGCTTGCTTTTAAAAATAAAATTGATTATCTATTCATATAGAGCACTACAATGTGTTCATTACCATCTTACCTTTAAGTTAATAGGTAAAGTACTGGAAGAAGGAAAGGGGTGAGATTGGATGGGGAGAAGAAAGAAATTTTTCAGAGGTAAATGAGTCTGAGTAGGACAACAGTGGGGAATGGGGGAGAGGGTTGAAGAGGCTGGGTATGGGGGAAGTGTTGTCAATGTCAGGTTCTACACATTATCATTTTCTTTGTTACTGCTGGTCTTCCATATGTGACCTTTGTCTTGTCATTGCTGTGATGTCCAGGAGCTCTGGGACACTTTGTGGCAGTGTGCCAGAGGTCACATGGTTTGTTCGTTGGTTTGTTAATTTTTTTTTTAATTAACTCACCATGAAGTACACAGTTACAAAGTTGTTTAATGATGGGGGTTTGATAATCAGTTTTCCAACACCCATCCCTTCATCAACTACATTTCCAGCCACCAATGTCTCTTGTTTCCCTCCTTCCACCTCCGTTGACCCCCAGTCCCCCTGTCTGCCTCTGTGGTAGGCACTTTTCTTCGATTTTTTTTCAAATTTTTAAAATTTTTAAATGAACCATTGTGAGGTACAGTTACAGACTTACAAATTTTTGTGCTTACATTTCAGTCATACAGTGATCGAGTACCCATCCCTCTACCAGTGCCCATTCTCCACCACCAATGATCCCAGTATCCCACCCCCATCCCCCCACTCTGCCTCTGTGGCAGGGCATTCGCTTTTGTTCTCTCTCTCCTTTTGGGTGTTGTGGTTTGCAATACAGGTATTGAGTGGCCATCATGTTCTGTCTATAGTCTACTTTCAGCACGCATCTCCCATCCCGAGTGGGTCCTCCTAGTACCCTTTACTTGGTGGTCCCTTCTCTATCTGAGCTGCCTTTTCCCCCAGCATGTGAGACCAGCTTCCAAACCGTGGAGCAATCCTCCTGGTATTGATCTCTACTACTCTTGGGTGTAAGTCTCCCATTCTGTTACTTTATATTCCTCAAATGAGAGGCACTTTTCTTCTTCTTTCTCTCTCTTGCTCTCTTTTACTCTCTTTCCTCTTGGGCATTATGGTTTGCAATACAGGTACTGAAAGGTTATCATGTATCTCCCTTTACCTACATTCAGCACTCGATTCTTGTCCAGAATTGCACATTTGTTAATGACACTGAGGAACCCCAATGTCATCACCACCCCGTGATGTGGGATGGTGCCAGAAATTGAACTTGTGACCTTATTCCATGCCAAGCAGGCACTCGCTCTGCCATTGAGCTACATCCTGAAGCTCCTGGGCGCCGTAGTTGACCCTTTGAAGGTGGAGCTAGGACAGATTGCTGTTAACTGCCTTGTACTTTTCACTAGATGACAACACTCCCTTTTTTTTAAAAAAAGGATCGTTTTTATTTATGATAATAAATTAAAGACTTTCTAAGCCAACCACTTTCTTAGTTCCTTTCTCTTTTATTTAACCCCATGTTTTGCATTAAAAATACTTAAAAGACCTAAGTGTATCTGACTTATTATTATTTCCCAGTTAATCTGCGAAGTGTGTAATTTTCAAAACTACACATTTTTTTTTACCATCTCTACCCCAAACTACATATTTTTGTGTCTATACACAGACATACATGCAAATTTATATACATTTACATATATATACACATATCCACCTATCTACCTATTTTAGTTTTCCAGAATTTCTTTAAATTGGTTAGTAGACCTTTCAGTATCAATATTGCAAAACCACAATACCCAAAAGGAGGGACAGAGGGAGAGAGGAGGAGAGGGAGGAAGAGAAGGAGTTGGGGTAGGGGAGAGAGAGAAAGAGTCAGAAAGACAGACAGAGACACAGAGGAGGGAGAGAGAGAGAGAGAGAGAGAGAGAGAGAGAGAGAGAGAGACAGAGAGAAGCCCCTGCCATAGAGCCATAGAAGCAGGCGGGGGGGTAGGGGGGTGGAGGGTTATGGGAAGGAGCCTGGGGACACTGGTGCTGAGAGTTGTACACCAGTGGATGGATGGGTGTTGAAATACTGTGTGATTGAAACCTAATTATGAACAGCTTTGTAAGGGTCAATCTCACAGTTATTTAATAAAAAAAAAGTAAAATAAAATAAATTGGTTAGTAGAGGCTAGGTCAGAAGTCTTCAGTCACTTGGTTTGGGACACAAGGACTGTGCCTGGGTTGGTGCTGGGGGTCACTCCTGGTGGTTCTTGGGAACCTTGGGGTAGGGTATCTTTCTTTTGTGTAGGTCAGACATTTATCCTGGTATTCCATCTGTTTACACTGAAGTTGATTGTTTCACTTCATTGACAGGGAAGTAACCTTTGTATGCAGTTTGTATTCCACACTTTCCTGGAAAAACTAATTGTTTTATAGTTGCCAGTCTTGGTTGAAAATGTTTATCTTTGAATATTCTCCTTTATTTTGTTTTGTTTTGTACCTGGGCCATACCTGGCAGTGCTCAGAGCTGACTCCTGACTCTGTGCTCAGGAATCAATCCTGGCGGGCTTGGGAGACCATATGGAGTGCTGGGGATCGAACCTGGGTCAGCTGCATGCAAGGCAAGAGCCTTAGCTCTGTACTGTTGCTCCTGCCCCAAATACTCTTTCTCTCTAAAAGAAACAATTGCTTCTGTTATAAGATAGATTTTAAAAAAAATTGTAACAATGAGTGAGTTGAGTAATAGTGAATGGTCAGTGCAGAGAATAAGTGTGCAGGCAAGTCCAACGGGGGGTGGGGGGACAGCTGCCTGTCCTCCGTGTTGCAGCCCTAGTCCTATTAGATGCATTCCAGATGGAGAAAGGGGGCCTTCTGGTGTGAGCACCCTTGAAAGCTGTGCTCGGGGAATCTTCTTTTTGTCTCTCACTGACTACTCAGGAATCCCAGATGCTGGGGACCCCCAAGGTTGCACCTGGATATGCTTGGGATCAAACTGGGGTCAGCTGCACGCAAGGGATTGTATCTCTCCGACCTGCAGAAAATCTCGTAATGGACGAGGCAAGACCTGAATTAATCCCACTTCTATTACCAGTATTTATCACATCTAGCTAGGTTTCTCTGCCTAGTAACAAGGAAATTAACAATATTAGAATGACCTGACTGCAAAAGCAATCGTAAATGAAGACTAAATTCATCTCAGCACTTAAATGTATTGACTACCCAATGTATGTTCACCATAGTTGGGGCAATGAGCAGAAAAGATCTCTACTTCAGTTTCCCGATCTTTCTCAGGGAGCCTGAGGTTTGTCATTTTGTTGCTTTCTTTTCTGTGTGGGTACTACTCTGGGGTCTGTGCTTCTTGTTCATTCTCTCCTGCTGCTCTGGAACCAGGCCTGGCTTCATGCAGTGTATATGCCTTAACACGTGAATTTCTCTTTGGCTCCTGGAGTTTTTCTTGATAAATGCCAGCAGATGAAATGCTGCATTTCATTACATTTCTATTAGGAAAACAGCAGGAAGCGAAAGGAATTTTGTATCTCTGAAGTGGAAATTTAAAACAACCTTCGCAGAAGACTGTAGTTACTGTTGAAGGATGTTTACCGTCTTAATCAATTTCTTGTAGGACCTGTTCACTGTTCAAGAAGTACACTTAATGGAGATTTGGCATCAGCAGCCATTCCTGAAGAAAGCAGACTCATGGCCAAAAAAAAATCAGAGTCAGAAGATCCTCTTCCATCCTTCTCTTCCTGAGGAAATGGAAATATCCAGCTTCCTCGAAGTATTGCTATGCAAAAGCTGCTGTGATTGAACTATTGTTATAGGGAGTAGTTTTTCCCTTAGGATTTCTCTTCTGCACTTTATAGAATATTGTAAAACAAACAGAACAACCCACATACTTTTGAGTGTATTTTATCTTTATATAGTTTATTTGCAAGAGTATTTTCCTAATAATTCCAGTGTGAATGTGCATCTGTTTTTTTCTTTTTTCTTTTTTTTTTTAAATAAAGATGGTATAACATTTTGACATCTCATTCATAAGGAACAGATGTAGATATTTTTCTAAAAAAAAATCTGTGAGGGACTGACAACTTTGTCAGTGTGTATCATGGTTTAGAAACATGAAATCTTATAAATAAGGTTTCGCTTTAGCAGAAGTCTGATGTCTGTGATTTGTGCCATGGACCAAATGGTCACTTTGCTCCAGCTAAAAATGTCACAATAGCAGCTTGATGGTGATTCTATTGTATTCCTTTAAGCAAAAAAGGAAACACTTCATTATCTTGATTATTTCTAGCCCAAATGCCATCACATTCTGAGCATTTGAAAACAGAAAAAAAAACAGACTGTGCTGTCCTTCATATGTGAAGGTGACACTACTGATATGTCAATACCCAATGTTGAGTTCAAATGCTTAATTTGTATTTATTTATTTTTGTTGTTCATCCAGAAGTGAATTGCGTCCTAACTTTTATGACCTTTCAAGTTAAAGATGTGTAGGCACCATACTTTGTTGTTTCAGAGAAGAGGTGTATGGTGTCTGCGCTCACATCTGAAAAATCCATGGCTTTCAGTGAAAGAATTTTATGCTTTTTCCCCCCTAAAGCAGACATTAAGCTGCTGTTGTAAAGTATTACACTTTGCAGCCCGTTAGATTATTTAGAGACCTTTTTAATTTCTGACTACTTAAACAAGAAAGAGATTCTGTCAAGGCAATTACTCTATATCATTTGAGAGTAGATTATATCCCATAAGGAAAAACATCCCACTTTTGGTAGTGCCTGTACATACCTTTTTGTCGGTGTTTGCCTTGTAAACTGTTTTTTGAAATTTACTTAAGAGTGACAGTTTTGTCCAAAGTCTTGGATGAGGAGCACTTTAAAGCAAACTGGTTTGATGTTTTTAGGTTAATCATATGTTTAATAAATATGTTTTTCGCATTTAAATTCAGCATATAATATATTGTATTTTTTACATTTATTGTTATTCTGTGTAGTCTATGAATTGTTAATAGTATTCTTTATTACTTGGATTTTGTTTGTATTTTGGAACTCCTGATGAATATACAGATGAGGAATATTTTAGGTTTTTTGCCCACAAGCTCTGAATAGTATGGTCTATTTCACTTGTGGCGGATTATTTTTTTGAGTTAATATTTGGTTGGTATTTATTTTACTAAGATTTATAATCATGTTTTTATCCTTAAGTTGAAAATGGCTGTAAATCATTTATATACATTAATATGTATTTGGATAAACTGAATGCTTCTTAAAATTTGGAATTTTGTTTCATTTTATTTCATTTGTGGTGCTAGGGATTGAACCCAGGGCATCACAAGTTTCCACATGACAGGCATGTGCTCTACCACTGAGCCTCATCCCTTTAAAGAATCTGTAATTTTTCAATAGCTCATAGGTCATTAGACAGAATGAAGTGCTTCTCAGATGCAGTACATCATGTCTAATTTAAAAAAAAAGTTCACATTGAGCAAATAGTTATAATTTTGGCTTTTTTGAACTTCATTTTCTTTGGAGTGGGAACTTGAACAATGATTCGACGATGAAGTGCAAAGTGCTACTGATAGGGAATTTTCCTGATAGTGATTTTTCAATCAATAGGTTTATAATGAAAAGATATAATATAGGAAATTTAGTCCAGTTTCCATTGGGCTGGGGTGATAGCACAGCGGTAGGGCGTTTGCCTTGCACGCAGCCAACACGGCCGACCGGAGTTCGATTCCTCCGCCCCTCTCGGAGAGCCCGGCAAGCTACCGAGAGTATCTCACCCGCACGTCAGAGCCTGGCAAGCTCCCCGTGACGTATTCGATATGCCAGACACAGTAACAACAAAGTCTCAAGATGGAGATGTTACTGGGCCCGCTTGAGAAAATCGATGAACAACGGGAGGACAGTGACAGTCCAGTTTCCATTATTTTATCATAAAATGAGTTCCTGAACACTTTTGTGTAAATTTTTAAAAAATAAATTGCAATAATTTCTGGTTTGGATCATTTTTTTCCCCTTAGAAGCAAGCAGGTACTTCGAACAGATTTGCTAGAGACCTCGGTATGGCTTTTATTGTGAATTCCAGCCACTTTTCCTTCTTTAGAACCACAATATTTGTGAAGTCTTCTTTCTTTCTTTTTTTTTTTTTGAGTGATCATGAATGTATTTAGAATTACATCTAGGTCTTGTAGTGAATGAACCACTGTATAAAAGTATCAGGGAATCTTGCATTTGAAGGAACGTTTCAAATGTGTATGACTATTGAATTTTAAGAACATTTTGAATGTAAAAAATTTATCATAGGGAGAATCCTCAAAAAATTTTAGCTTGTGAGGATTTTCGGTGTTTATTTTGGGCAGTGTGGGAGGCGTCCCAAGCAGTGATGAGGGAACGCTCCTGTGAATCTTCAGGCCAAAGCCAGATCATTCAATAACTGGGGCCCAAGGTACTTGGGTATCAGGCAGTGCCGAGGACCAAACTCAGGGCCTCATGCATGCTTGGAATATGCTCTAGCCCCCTGACCCATCTCCTCATTCATCTTGTCAGGATTCTCCATGATATACTGCTATCAGTCTTTTCATGCTTTGTCCCGGGGTAGTTAAGCAATTGGGAGAATCTTCTCTTGACATTCCAGTGATCTCAGCAAAACTAGTGCCTGCTTTTCTTTTCAAATATCTGGTTGGAATTGCTAGCCACTATGATGAAAGAGGCTTTGAAGAGAAGAAATATGTAAATGGACCAGATTTGAATTTTGTTACATATTAGATTGAATTATTATATTATCTTCAATCAGGACAATGCTGCTCCTTTAATTTAAATTTCAAGTCAAGAGATAAAGCACCTAAATTTTTTTTTTAAGGAGAAGAACCAAGTTTATTTTATTATGGAACTGTATGGAATACCCAATTGAATTATGTAACTGATGTATGATCTTGGGAAAAAAATATTCATTCAGTACCCTCCACATCCTTAATTCTTTCTTTTTTTTTAATTTTTATTAGTGAAACACCATGAAGTACAGTTGTAGACTTACAAATTTTCGTGCTTGGCTCTCAGTTATACAAAGATCGAGTACCCATCCCCCCACCAGTGCACATTCTTCACCACCAGTGATCCCAGTATCCCTCCCCCCCACCCCTCCTCCATCCCACCTTGCCTCTGTGGCAGGGCATTCCCTTTTGTTCTCTCCTTTTGGGTGCTGTGGTTTGCAAAAGAGGCACTGAGTGGCAGTCATGTTCGGTCTATAGTCTGCTTTCAGCATGCATCTCCCATCCTGAGAGGATCCTCCCAACACCCTTTATTTGGTGCTCCCTTCTCTATCTGAGCTGCCTTTCCCCCTAGCATGAAAGCACCTAAGTTTTATGGTGCCATGGGACCTGGGCACTGATGGGCAGTTTTTTCACTGTGCCTTTCCACTTAGTATTTAGAAACTCACCACAAGATCTCAGGCAGTGTACCACTACAATATATTAATATTATTTGCTTTATGGGCTGGAGCGATAGCAGAGCGGGTAGGGCATTTGCCTTGCATGTGGCCGACCTGGCGAGCCTGGATTTGATTCCTCTGCCCCTCTTGGAGAGCCCAGGAAGCAACTGAGAGTATCTTGCCCGCACAGCAAGGCCTGGCAAGCTACCCATGACATATTCGATATGCCAAAGCAAATCAATGAACAGGACAGTGCTACAGTGTTACAGTGCATTTGCTTTATACCAGTACCACATATAATGTCATGAATTTGAACACAGTGAAGTCTACTTGTTTTATTGAATGAAGTGCCTCTTTTGGATGTGTATTTTATTTTGTTTTTGTTGGACCTCACCCAGCCTAAGGCTTCTGGGTTTGTACTCAGGGTTCATTCCTGGTGGTGCTTGGGGGACCACATGTGATGCTGGTAGGCTGCATGCTAGACAAGCACCTTACCCTCTGGACTGTCTCTCTGGTCCTGGATGTATCCTTTGAGCCTGGTATTTGCAATCTGGTGCAGGAGTGTTCTGGCCTGAGAGCAGCCCTCATTACCTGTAGACATTCCATGACAAACTCTTTGAAAACCCTGCTGCGGTGAGAAAGCTCAAGTAGGTATACAGGGCTTTCTTTTCATGTGGTTTTAGTACCCAAGATCCCCTTTCAATCCTACTGGGTTTATAAGTTTTAAGTTCTTTTATGTTAGCTTTTTTTTAAAATCACTTATCACTTAACTTCCTGTTAGTCGTTGATTTGCTCGAGCGGGCGCCAGTAATGTCTCCATTTGTCCCTGTCGCGTGCTAGTGTAGCCCAATGGCATCTGTTCGCTCTGGGAACATGAAGAGCCTCAAACCGATCGTTCATGATCTTGAACTTTTTTTTTAAAAAAAGTTAATTTTTTGACTAAAGTTTTAAAAAAACTCAAATGGTGCTAGACAGCTTATATAACGAAAAAAAGTAATTCCTCCAAACTCAGAGGCCCATATTTTCTACTCTTAGTGGTTTAGTATTCATCTTCCAATCTGAAAGTTATCTATCTTGATTTATCAGTTCAGAAGGGATTTCTTGAATTCCTTTTTATGGTAGGATTTACTTTTAAGAATGGATTTGTAATTTATTGAAGTAGCATTTGTGTACAGAGTATATTATTTGCTGGAAGGATATATTGTTACCATCCCAGGCCCACCACCATAATGGCAGCATCACACTTCCAGGGGACTCTCCCCTTACCATGGTGGGTAATTTCTGGACCAGCAACCATATTCAAGGCCTGCAAAATCATGGGGCCTGGCCCTGGAACATGATGAGATAGACACTTAGGCCTTTCAGTGGCTGGTCTGCCTGAATTGTGTGGCCCTTGAATGATATAAATATATAAATGGCCCTTGGCAAAGACATGGTTCCTCATCTGTCCTTATACTCTGACTTCCTTAAGTAAATTCAGTTTTGTGATTAGCATCGAGAGTTGGTTTCCACTGGCTGTCTTTTCCCTTGCTTTGTTTATTTTGATAGAACATATAGGTGGAGTTCACAGTCATTTGTGTTTTTCCTTCTATTTCACACCTTCCAGTTTCATCTATATTGCAGAAAGGGGGAAAAAAAGATTTATTTTTATTTATTTTTTTGCTTTTTGGGTCACACCCAGCGATGCTCAGGGGTCATTCCTGGCTCTGTACTCAGGAATCACTCCTGGCGGTGCTTGGGGGACCATATGGGATGCCAGGGATCGAACCCAGGTCGGCCGCGTGCAAGGCAAATGCCCTATCCGCTGTGCTATCGCTCCGCCCCCCCCAAAAAGATTTCTTATACTGTAACTTCTTTATCCACTCAACTACTGTTGGACATGGGTTGATTTTAGAAATGGGTTATTTTAAACAGCTGCAGTAGACAAATGTGTGCCTATATTTTTTCAAATGAGTGTTTTTGTATTCTTAAGATAGCTCTATAGAAGTGGATTTACTGACGGTGGATTTGTAGTTTTTTGACATGTTTCCAGACTTTTCCATAGAGGTTTACATTCGCAACACCAGTGAGTGAAGGTTCCTTTTTCTCTCCTTCACCAGCACTTGTTAGTTTCTGACCTTCTTGTATGGACTATTCTTGTCCAGGTGGAATAATAATCTCACTATTCCTGTGTTATCTTTTTGTGGGAGGGTGGAAGTAAATAAAACAAATACTTGTGCTTTATTCGCCTTATTTAACTGGATTTGAATTATAATAGTGTGCCTTTTAAGTGTTTTTTTGTTGTTGTTGTTGCTGTTCTTAGTCATAACAGCTAATATTCTTTTGACAAGTTTTTTGGTATTTAACTGAGCTATGTGTAAACTAGAAGTGAAACAAATTGAAAACATTGAGATTGACAGCAGTTAGTCTCTAACATGGCAACCTTATAGCAAATATGGCTGTGGTTAGATATGGCATTTAATTTTGAAACATTTTCAGAGTGGGATTTTTATTCCTTAAGAAAGATCCGTGTACTTATTTTGTGAATACTTTTTTAAAAAAAATTTCTCTTCCTAATGCCAAAAGGTGTACTCTTCAAGTTTTATTATGAAACTTCTGCTTGTTTTAAGTACTGTAGTAATTTTATGAATTAATAAAACTGACCTGTGTCAACAATGCAGGGGAAATGTTTCATAAATTTGCTCAGACACTAAGGACTTCCGTATAGTATGTTCAGAAAGTTAGAGAAAGGTTAGCCCTTTGCTTTTTGGAACTGACAGTTGGCTTCCTCTTTGCATGGAATTGAGTAAACAGCAAGTGCTGAATTTCAGGGAAGGTGGGCTGGGGATCTGGATCAGGTGTAGATCACAT